ACAAATCGTATTCTGAAGTTAAAAAACTCGAAAGTGAAAAAAATCTAGGTTTACCATTCAAAAAGGTGGTACCCAAATGTACCCCTGAAGATATACGAGAGAAAAAGAGGAAATATTGTATTAATCTGTTACAGAATCAAGTTGATAGGGTGGAATATGCGCTGAGGAAGACTCAGACTGAAGCCAATGTAGCAAATCCACAGACTTTTAGAATTGCAGTTGGATATATTCCGAATACTCGTAAAGACGTAGAAAAATCTCCAACTAAACCTGTTGATGATGGGAAGTTTATGGACATTGGTCAGAATCTAAAACCCAAGTCAAGTTCGCTAACTAATTTGGTTCCGAATAAGTTTAGTTGTGAGAAGAAGATTTTAAAAGTTTTGCTCAAAGAGGAACCTCCAGTTCCTCCAGTAGAAAAAATAACGAAACCTAAGTGTGAGTCAAAAATATTCCAAATTCCTTTAAAATCGGATTCTAAGAAGGTGTTGAAGAATTCTACATTAAGTATAAAACCAAGTGGATTAATGGGATCAACAATAAAATTACAGCAGAGTTCTTCTACATCAGCTGCAGCTATTAAAAACTTTTTTAAAACAAGTATGAAGAAAGATACTACGAGTAATTCTAAAAAGGTTTTCAAACCGGAAGATACATGTCCTCCACCAAGTTGTCAAATTTGCTCAGGTGGGCCTGGAAAGTGCGCAGATCGGAAACTCTGCGCTCAGAATGAAAATTTACAGAAAACTATTCTGGATCTAATGAAAGTAGAGAATCCATGTGAGTTTACTCTTTTACAAGCCAGAATGCGTAGGCAACGTGAGAAACTTCAATCACAGAATAAAGAAGAGGAATTTTTCAAAGGTTATAGATATGCTATAAAGCGATCAAATATTTATGAAGTTTCTGATGAACCAAAACAAAAACCTTACACACCTGATAAAGTCTTCCCTGTTAAACGTATGAGAAGTAGTGGGAGTTGTAGTGGTTCTTATAATTCTCAACTTGCTGATACAAGGTGTCTACACTTTGACCAGAATAAGTCTCAGAAGATTTTAAAAGAAAAGACTGATAATCTTGAAAGGAAATCATTTGACAGTCATAATTGTAAGAAGTTTTCTTCAGGGAAAGAGAATAAAGTTTTTGGAACGGAAAGTCATTTTGAACAAATGAAATCTCGCAGATTAACAAAAGATAAAAGTGATGTAGAAAATACTACGTTTGATAGTCGTACTTGTAGAAAATATTCTCCTGAAAAGAAAGAGAATAAAGTTTATGGAGCGAAAAGTCATCACGATGCAATGAAATCTAAAAGATTAACAAAAGATGAAAAAGATGCAGAAAAAGATACATTTGATAGTCGCAATTGTAGAAAGTTTACTCCAGAAAGGAAAGGAAATAAAGTGTTTGATGTAGAAAAATATTACAATAAAGATATTCTGAAAGAGAAGAAGGAAAATGAAGGAAGGAAATGTTACGAAGACAAAGCAAGGCAAATTAAGGAGTTACAGAAAATGCAGGAGAGTAAATTTACTCCTTTGAAGAAGACTGCAGTTTTCTCAAAAGAAAAATGTAAAGCAAAAGAAGAAGAAGAAGAAGAAGATGATGATTCTCCTAGAATGAAACAAAGTGTGAATAATTGTTGCAGTGGAAGAACTCCCAGACCCAAGGCTGAGAAATATCAGTTTCAGAAACCATCTACCGAAACAATTTACGAGTTTGTAACTGAAGATTACCGATCAGAAGCTCAGAAAAAAGCAGAAAATAGATTTAGAGAGAATGCTAGTAAAAAACAAACCTCGTTATCTAAGGAAAGTGGAAGAGGAAGTTCAGATAAAATTTCTAAGTCTAAATCAAGACATGACACAGAAAAATCTGTGAAATGTTTCCCAAAACAACCTGATAAATATTCTGCATCTAAACATGTCCCTGAGGAAGACTCAGAAAGAAATATCCAGCATTTCTCAACTAAATATAAATATAAAGATCATGATGAAGATGAAGAAGACAAGACACTAACTAGAGATTCTCAGAAATATTCGGAGTCTAAACATGCTTCCGAAAAGGATTTCCAAAGTAAACCTATTGAGAAAAATTTTGAAGAACAAAATAAAAAACTTGAAGAGTATTCTGTACCTAGACCTATAAGAGATTGTGAAGAACAGTATCTCAGAATGAAATCTAAGTATGATACAGAAAAGCTTAGAAAATATTCTCCATATAAACCAAGGACTTCTCAAGATAGTCAAAGGACTCTTGATTCATGCATTGAAGAAGTAGAAGAAGATGACAGAAAAGTGGGTAAAAAATTAGCTGAAGAAAAGAAGAAGACTGAGAAAAGAGCTGAACATCAAATGGGTACTAAAGTACGTAAAAGTCTACGAGAAGAAATTGACAGTCGGTCTAAAAGAAGCACATCATTCTTCAACAAAGCTAAAAAATCTAAATCTTTATTAATTGACGATGAAGATTTTGAATCTGATAAAACAAGTTACACTGATGTGAAACTATTGAAGAAACAGTTAGAAAAAGAAGAACTTGAGATGAGAGCGAAGAGTTTTGAGAAAGCTGAGACAAAGAAAGTAGTTCCTGTGTATTCAAGTGAAGAAAATTACGCAGACAGCGAAGAAAGAGTAAAAACACCGAAAGAAGAAATAAGAAGTGAGGTTACAACACCAGACATTGTGATTTGCAAAAAAGATAAGCAAAAAGAAAAATCCAAAGACTTAGAATTACAAAAATCTGTGCATCTTTGTTATGACAAAGATCAATTACAGAGTATAAGTGAAAAGACACTCAAATGTAAAGAAAAATCAACACCAATAACAGAAATTTTAGAAAACGAAAACCCAGAGGGCTCTACAATGAAAGAACACGATATCACACATTCAAAGATTCCAAGTAAATCAGTATTACCGAATCGCAGAAAAGAACAAGAAGCTAGATTAGAACCGATTCGCAGTGAACGAAATCAATACGTTGATAAAGAAATTAAAAAATTAGAGAATTTACAAAAAGAAATTAAATTTGATGATGCAAAACGCTTGTTTTATCAAGAACAACTTCGTGATGTGAGAAAACAAATTGCAGAATTTGAAGCAAAACTTTCTGGAGATTCACTATCTGTATCTCCACCTTTAACACCTGAAACACCTGATAAATTAATTGATTACAGAAAATCTTTGGATTTGAAAATATGTCCAGAGGTTTTATCTCTGAGATCATCCACAGATGTAATTGCAGATAAAGTCTACGAAAGATTATTGAAAGCAAGCAATAACAGAATTCTGAATGAGGTCAAAGAAGAAATACTTAATTCTAAGTCTATTGATGTTGATAAACCTAGAACAGGTATACATGTGTGTAAACCAAATGGATCAGTTACAGAATTAAGCATGGCTAGTACTCTAGGTGATAGTGCTGATTCCAGAAGACCTCAGAAAAAGTGGACACAGAAAATCTCTTCTGCAATGCATTCTGTAACTCCAGAGGTTGAAGAAATGAGTACTCCTGAGTGTATGTCCAAGAAACAGATGGAGATGATTTGTAATAAAGTCTTAGAAGAGATTAACAAGATGAATCAATTGAAAGTTAAGGAAAAAGAAGAAAAGAAGAAGGAAACTGCTTTGATAAAAAAATCTGAAGATAAAGTTATGGTCAAAGAATCGGAGTCATCACGAAAGTGGAAATATCTTGATGAGCTTAACCACTACGACTATACTCATTATGAGAAAAGCACTTCAGGTCTTCAATTACAGAAATGTATGAAGGAAGTGAAGAAATGTCTGGATGATTATAAAAGATGTTTGATTGATCTGAAGTTGATGCCTCAGATGGATAAACATTTTGATTATGATGCTGCTGTTAGTATTTCATCTCCGAATTTACCTATAAGTAGAGAAGAGCATTCTGGGGAAGATAATGAAAGTATAACTTCAGATAATAGCATTCTGGAGAAGATTCGGAAATCCACAAAGGTGGAAAGGAAGTGTTCGAGTAAATTGAATACAGTTCCCATGTTGATATCAGGTCAACACCCGATAAATATCAAACATAGAAAGAGTACCACTTGTGTCTTGGACACAAAGAATCGCCATCAGTATTCTGTTGATAAAAGGCACTTTGGTGATTCTATGACTGCTTGTTTAAATGAAGCAGATGTTAGTGATTTGAAAGATTCTAAGACTAGAAAGAGTTCTGAGACAGGTGTTGGTGTGGTGATTGATGAGGCTACTTTGTGTTTCCCACGAGGTGAGGCCAACATAGATGTAGAATTACTTTTCCATCCTAATGAAGAAATGAAGAAATCTAGGCTTACACCAGAGATTGCTAGGAATTCTGTATCTGAAGATAATCATACCATGGATGTACCTTCAGGTTCCCAGAACAATATGCTAGACGTAGAAAATTTCCCAGTTCCAAAATATATACCTAACCCACATGGTATCATGCTCCACCAGAATTCTCCAACTATCAGGTATGACTATACCAGTTACAATAAACAATCTGAAGAATCTGAAGAAGAAGAAACCGAACCAATCTTCTCCAAACCCATACAGATGTTCCACCAGATGTATGAGGTGACCACAAACAAACTAAAATCAATGGCCCAGAAAACCGATGAGTTCCTGAACACACCTGATGAACTCTGGAGTGAACAATACTACCCACAAATCTACCACAAAAAAGCCGAAGCACAAGCCTTAACCCAATCTACAACAGGTCATTCCAAACCTCCTCAGGAGAAATATTACGATAAGAATATGGGTCTGTTAACAGCCCGGATAATCGCCAGACCCAAAGGTACATCTCCCAATAACTGCCCACATTGTCAAATCCATCACACCAGGAAAACTCTTGAACGTCAACAGAGTCTGACAAACATCTTCAAAGAGGCTCGTCAAGACTTTCAGGAATCCTCCAAGAAATGCTGTAAAGACCTAAAAGAGACCCTGAGGTACCCTCGAGGACAGAAATAAATTTTGGGACCACTTTGAATGTTTGAATTTAAATTACTGTTATTTTATTGAATGAACCAGAAATAAATTTAAAATTCATACAGAAAATAAGAACCCTACCAAATTTGATCACAAACCTAAGAACTATTTTATATATATATACAGAGTGTTAGATATAATATAGAATACTGTTGTAGAAATTGATGGTATCCCTCTTGAATTTAATCAATTTGAAGGTCTTTTAAGTAAACCTTTTGTTGTCCATCAACAACTAGAGCCATGTTGTTATTATTCGGGATAGTCTGTTGTCCATAACCAAACAACCCGCCCCACCATGAACCTTTTTTGATACGTTTAGTTTCATCCACCTGGTACTTCTCGCTGTCTTTCAACCAGTCTCTGTATTTATCCACCATTGATAAACTTTCTTCGTCTAGTTCTTTAACTGTGGGAGCTTCACCACCGTAATCTTTCGGCATTATCTCAATGGGTATACCTTCAGGTACGTTCCCTTTGTGGAATTTCACAAAGGATAAGAATTCAGAACGGACAAGTGGGAGGATGATACGCATGATGTGGTTGATGTAATTCGCAGTGTTCAGAACATGGATTTGTTTGAGTCTTGCAGGATGGGCTTCCTAAAACCATAAAAATTGAAGGTATTCCTTTGGAGGTTGATAAACTCACCTGGATGTAGTTTAAGAAGGCTTTTAAAGGTGGTAGAGACACTCTGGCTAAATGTCCCAGAGAAACACCTTTCATATCAAAAAGGACGATGTATCCTTCAGCCAAACCATCTTCAGAAAGGGCACAGTCGTTGAACATACAGAATCCTTTGACTGCATCAGCAAAAACCAATTTGGTGTAATCTGGGTCCTTGCAGGTGTACATCAATACCTTGTAACCATCCGGGGTAAGTTTTGGAAGTCTCACCACATGCCTGAAATAATTTTAAATAAAAAAAATCAAAATGGCTGATTTTTAAATTTTGTTTTTAAATATTTCTAGGAGACCATGAAAATTTCATGTTTATTTCGGCTGTCAGAGTTTGTTTAACCACCATCATAAAAGTCCAACTTTTGAAACGGTCCCTGGTCATCAAAATTTTTCGTGGACATATCAAATTTCAAATTTTATTTTACGGGACTATTCACTATCAGTCCCAATTAGTTTATTACACATTTGTAACTAAATTCTAAATTTAAGTGTTTTCATTAACCATCATCACTTTATTGTGTTTTTTTCGATTTTTCGAAAAAACAAATAAAGTGCTAGAAAATCAATGGAATTACCACATTCAGAACAACACCTCCAACTCATCTCTGAAACCATGTGATTTCTTTAATTGTACGCAAAAAATCAAAATTCTAGTAAAAAATTCTAAAAATGAATCAAGCTCAAAAAGTGTTGCGAGTGGCACGTGCATTATATCTGTCGAGCGCATGCGCCCATCGTGGAACTTGTCATATTGCATCACCCAAACCAAAATGGCTGACGTCTTCACTGGGGGCAAGCAGGCGACATCACCATCAACACCATGTTGGTGTGGTGAGTATTGCCCACCGGGATATGATCCGCCATAGTGTATCTAAGCTTCGTGGAATACGTGGTGGTCTTCCGATGAGTGTTAACCACTTTACCAATAAGCATCTGTGTCTACAACTGAGGGCGATGGGGTTGTTTAAGACTCAGAGGCATGAACATTCAACGAAAGCTAAACCTTCTAAGTCTTCAACGAGTCTGAATAAGGCTTTAACAAATTTGGTTATTGGTAAGGATAATACCAAGTCTTTGCTTTGTATGAAAAGTGGATGTAGAATCAAAACTGATGGGAGTCAGAGGATGATGAGTTCAAAACGTAGACGCAGAAAATCTAAGTCTAAGTCTAGATCCAGATCTAAGTCTAAAGGTGGGTCTTGTACTTATATTATGAAACCTAAGGATAAGAAGGCTAAGAAAGATAATAAGAAGATTTCTATTGAAGAATGTTGTTCTTATTGTGATGAAAGAGTTAGAAAGGCTTTGGATCAATTGGCGGCCATTGTTCAGTGTAAAGCTAGGGAAATAGCTGAAGGTACTGAGAAAAAACATAAGAAATCTAAGAAATCGAAGAAATGTAGGTCTAGGTCTAGGTCTAGGAAATCTAAGTCTAGGTCTAAGTCTAAAAAATCTAAGTCTAGATGCAGGTCTAAGTCTAAGTCTAAATCTAAGTCTAGATCTAAGTCTAAGTCAAAGTGTAAGGTGAAAAAGAAGAAATCTAAGTCTAAAGCAAAGAAATCTAAGTCTGCGCCATGTGTAACTAAGTCCAAAGTTGGTAAGACTATTCCTGGATCTTTGGAGAAGAAGAAATGTAAGTCGGATTCTTCAGTGGGTAAGAAGAAGTCTGTCATGAAATGTCAGAAGCTGGATGAGACTCTATCGGTTTTGAAGAAGAAACGCAGTGAGTGTAAGAAAAAAGGTAAGAAGGATAAGAAGAAAAAGAAGAAAGGAGCCCCTAAGTTTGTGTGCAAGAAAAACTACACTAAGGATTTATGTAAGAAGCGACCTCCTAAGAAGAAGAAGTCTGGGAAGAGTTTGTGTAAGAAGAAATCGAGCAAGAAGAAGTCATCGAAAGATATTTGTAAGAAGAAATCAAGTAAAAAGTTGAAGAAGAAGAAGAAGTCTTCTAAAGACCTCTGTAAAAAGAAATCAAGTAAAAGTTTGAAGAAGAAGAAGTCTTCAAAGGACATATGCAAGAAGAAATCTAGTAAGAAAATGAAGAAGAAGTCTTCAAAGGATATTTGCAAGAAAAAATCAAGTAAAAGCTTGAAGAAGAAGAAATCTTCTAAGAATATATGTAAGAAGAAGTCTAGTAAAAGCTTGAAGAAGAAAAAGTCTTCAAAGAATATTTGCAAAAAGAAATCTAGTAAAAATTTGAAGAAAAAGTCTTCTAAAAACCTTTGCAAGAAGAAATCCAGTATGAAGACTAAGAAGAAGTCTTTAGAAGAACTTTGCAAAGAGTTGAAAAAACAGACTTCTGAAAATCCTTGCAAAAAGAAGTCTAGTAAAAAATTGAAGAAGAAGTCTTCTAAGGATATTTGCAAAAAGAAGTCAAGTAAGAGCTTAAAGAAGAAGAAGTCTTCTAAAGATATTTGCAAGAAAAAATCTAGTAAAGACTTGAAGAAGAAAAAATCTTCAAAGAGTATTTGCAAAAAGAAGTCAAGCAAAAATCTGAAAAAGAAGAAATCTTCAAAATATATTTGCAAAAAGAAGTCAAGCAAAAATCTGAAAAAGAAGAAATCTTCCAAAGATATTTGCAAGAAGAAATCTAGCAAAAATTTGAAGAAGAAAAAGTCTTCCAAGGATATTTGCAAGAAAAAATCTAGCAAAAATCTGAAAAAGAAGAAGTCTTCAAAATCTATTTGCAAAAAGAAGTCGAGCAAAAATCTGAAAAAGAAGAAATCCTCTAAAGATATCTGCAAGAAAAAGTCTAGCAAAAATTTGAAGAAGAAGAAATCTTCCAAAGATATTTGTAAAAAAAAATCTAGCAAAAATCTAGCAAAGAAAAAATCTTCGAAAAATGTTTGCAAGACGAAATCTAGCAAAAGTCTGAAAAAGAAGAAGTCTTCTAAAGATATTTGTAAGAAAACATCTAGCAAAAACCTTAAAAAGAAGAAGTCTTTAAAATCCATTTGCAAGAAGAAGTCAAGCAAAAATCTAAAAAAGAAGAAATCTTCAAAATCTATTTGCAAAAAGAAATCTTCTAAAAATATTGGAAAGAAAAAGAAGAAATCAAAGTGGTCATTATGCAAAACTTCTTCCAAGAAAGATTCTAAAAAGAAGAAATCAAAGAAAAGTATCTGTAAGAAAGATTCTAAAAAGTTAAAAAAGAAGAAATCCAAGAAATCCAAGTCCAAAGTAAAATGCAGCAAAAGCAGTCAATCAGTAAGCCAAAACGAATACTGTGTTTTAAAAGCATCAAAATCAGCCACCAGTGCTGGTAAAGGTGGTACAAAATTACCCTGTAATGCCAAACTGAAGAAATGTCCATCCGGTGGAAAAGTAAAAGCCGCATGTGAAGCCCAACACAAAAAAGACATGAAAGCCAAACCCTCCAAAGACCCCCAAGAATTCTGCAAAAAACATGGCGTAAAAGACAAGAAAGGGAAAGGTAAGAAGAAGAAGAAGAAGAAGGAAAAGAAGAAGAATGATGGTATGGTATGCGCAACACCAAAGAAGAAGAAAGCCAAGGCCACTTTCAAAACAAAATGCAAAGACAAGAAGAAGAAGAAAAAGAAGAACAAGAAGAAACTGAAGAAATGTAAATCCTCTAAAAGTACAAAGTCTACCAAAGTTAAGTGTCTGGATGGTACCCGACAAGGTTTAATGGTTGAGTGTCCTGGTATGGACAGCACCGGAAAGGCTTTCATGGGTACCAAACCACAAAGGGTTAGTGGTGACTTCACCAGCCCTCATCAAACAACACCATTATCTCAGATTGAACTTTCGAAGAAACCCAGCGAGATGGAGACCTTTATCATCTTGAACCATAAAAAACTATCTGGGACCAATATCAAATCTGATAGGGTGTCCAAATCTAGTTTTGCAAAGAACTTGGACCTGGAATCTGATAAACCCTCTTCAACCAAGTCCAAGATCCCAAAATATGTTCCTCAGACCATGTCTATCACCTCTGAAGATGGAAGATCCACAGTAACCTATCAAAAAAGAGACTCCACTTATACTGATTCTTTGGACCATGGTAATGAAGTGTTGATAACCTCAGATGGTACAAATCACAAGACTAGATTATCAGTCCCACCTGATGCAGAGAAGATTGTCTTGGAAATTGATCTGAAGAATATGAATGAAGGACCCATCATCACCAAAATCACAGCTACACCAAATAACAAAGTGGAGGTTGAACAGAAGCAAGTCCTTGATGCAGAAACTGAACAAATCAGAAAATCTGCCATGACTAATGTGTCCTTGAAACGACCTCCACGAGCTGTGAGTGAAGTGAAGCTCTATACCCTCCAGTCTACATACCGCAGACAGGTGGTAGGTTCAGATATGCAAAGGGAGTTGATGAGGTATGTCAAGACTATCAAAGGACAGAAACCCAATACCCTAGTGTTTCAAGCTAAACCTGTCGGTGAGAACCCCAAAAAGAAGAAGGGTCAGAATGTAGAGGATGTTGGTAACAATGTAGACTTTAAACCCAAAAAGAGAGATTTACATTGTCATGGTAAAAGGACAAGGGTTGGACCTGCCATGGTTGATCCCCCAGTGAAACCCTATTTGAAGGAAGTCAGTGAACCTGCAGTGGATACCTATTCTTGTAAGGAACCTACTTTAACCAAGGTGGATATGGTCGACCCTAATAACCAAGTGGCTATCAGTGATCCTTTGACTAATTGGTATGATCCCATTTTGTGTAGGGACTTGAGGAATAAGACGTTTCAAGATATCTTCCCACCTGGTAAAGATCAAGATGGAGATGGAGTATTCTATGCGGATAGATGTTTTGGGGGACAGGTTTGTGAGTAGGAACTTATTATCTGTATGATAAAATATGTTGGGTAATTTTAGGAAGCACCTACTTTTGGGGTTTGTGACTGTTATCAACCTATGGATAAACCTACGTTTGGGGCTTGTAAAGGACCTCAAAGTGTTGATGATTATGTTCATTCCAAGGAAAGGGATACCTTCTATTCCCATCTTTTTGGAGAACCCTTACCAATTGATGAGTGCTCCCTGAAAGAGTTTGATTATTCGATACCAACTGAATATGATCTTATGATGGCCCGTAAAAGGGAGCACATGATGCAGATGTCTAGGAGGTTAGCTGAGGAAGAAGAAACAAGAAAGGCTTGTGAAAAGAAAATGAAGGACCGGTGCCGAACCCCTATGGGAAAAGGTTCTAGACTTATTTTCAAATAATTGTTTCTAATTTTTTAATATTTCAGTGGATTATTCTACGATTGACTTTGGTGAGTTGGTCCAATGTAGCAGAAACAAAGAAGAATCCCGTCGGATGCAATTGGAATGCTTTAAAGCAATAGCCGCCCATTGGAACCACCTCAATACCTTAAGAAAACGTCGCCAGAGGAAACGCCTGCAGAAACCTACAACCTATACAACTCTACCCAAAAGAGTAGCTACTTTCATGGATCCTAATCAAAGTACCACTTTAAGCCCACCTGGAAGGGAGTTAACTCCTGATTATGTAGACACTTCATCGGCAATTGCAACTGGTCATAAAGAACGACAACAATGGAGGGCTAAGAATTTAATGACCATGTCACTGGTCAAGGCTCAGAAGAACCCTCAGATTAAGGTGTACCGCGATGAGACCAATAGACGCCTTTGTAATGACTTTGAAAAGTGTCTGCATAAGTTCAAAATGGTAGATGCGGGTCACCCGGGACCTTTTAGTTGTAATCCCAAAAGGGTCTGTACCTGTCAAGATGATGACAAGTCCAAAGAAGATAAAAACAAAGAGGGTAAAAAGGGTAGCAAGAAGAACTTTATAGGTGCTAGTGTGGTACCTGTGATCATGTGTAACTACTTTGGGAATGAGACCCTTTCCAGACACAGAATAATATTTGATGCGGATCATGACAGTGGATTACCATCAGCTGTCCTTTCTTCAATCAATGACCAACAGGAGAATTACAATTACATAGAAGTTGATGGTAATTATTGGGGAGGATTAATATTCAAAATGGCGGATATGATTATGCCCCCTGTGAATTACATGATATCTAAGATGGTACCCAATGTGGTAGGACCTCACCTTGAGAGTAATACCCTTAAGGTCAAAGATGGTAAACCCAAAGATCAACAAATACCCAATGAAGAACAAGATACAAATAAAAATCAACCTGAAGAAAAGTCCTCACCTGAAACTATCAAAAATGAAGAAATGAAGAAACCTTCCCGGGAGAGTCTGGTAAACATGGTTGCAGGTTACCTCGCGCGGATATTCCCAACTACATCAACCCCAGATCAAGAAAAGAAGCAGGAAACAGGAACCACGACCAGGGAACCTGAAGAAAACTCATCACAAACACCAGTAATACCTGAAAACAAACCTGAAGATGCGGATATAATAGCACGTCGCCTACGAAATGTCCTCGAACACAAGCAACAAGAATACAACAAACTTCTTGCATCCAAAAATGAAGATACACAGCTTTCTATTCATCGCGTGAAGAAACAATTGGGAGAAACCAAGGATTTATTAGATGATATAACTGCTACTGTTCAGAAACTCAAAGAGAAAATCAAGGTTATAACAGATATGACCAATGCAAAACAACGAGGGTTAAAGGAAGCTTTATCTTCACATTTGGATGAATTGATGAAGAGTCAAAATGCCTTGGAAGCTCACTATGATGACATCAACAGAAGGTTGCACAATGTCCATAAGAGGTTAGCTCTTACTCGAGGTGAGGCCTGGAAGGATCTACAGGATGTTACCAAAAGAAGTGAAAATTTAGCGAGAATCCGCCGGGAAAGAAATGAAGATGGAAAAGCAAAAACCAAAGCAAATATGGAAGTGGAATGGATTAAAGCTATCACAGAATTGAGGGAGACTGTAGCTAAATTATACCTGAACATGGATGTGAGTGACCTTCAGATTAAACAACAGGTCAGTGAAATTAGACGTCTGGTACATGAAAAGGTAACCAATAAACGAGTGCAAGAAAGTTTGAAATTATTAGAGTTGACTATTGCTAAGGAGTCCCAACAGGATCAAACTAAAGAATTAAGGGCCAAGGCTCAGGAATTGAAGAACCAATTGAAGTATTTGAAGGAGTTGGCTTCCAAGGCCTCAGGGGCAGATTTGAGTAAGGAAAGAGAGCAGACTTTGAAGGAGTTGAAGGCGGCTGCTGAAGCTAAGAAAGAAGAAATCAAAGAGTTGATTAAGAATTTTAAGGATCAAGGAGATGATGAGGGTTCTCAGGGAACGGGAAAGGGCAAGGGCAACAAGTGACCGTCTAATGTCCATTTTCGATCTTTTAATACAACGTAATAAACTAATGATAAAATAAGTTGAGTGTTTTGGGGTTACTTACGCGAGTTCGATGCATGTTTGAATTGTTGGGTGATCCACATCACGGTTTGCGAATAGCATTGGAGTTTTTGAGCGGATGGTAAAGTAGCGATCGATGGTGTACTTGGTGCGAGTGAGGTCGTAGTAACAGGCGTGTAAGAAGAGGTACACGAAGTCGTCACTTATCGTTGGCAGATGCGGTTGAGTGAGGAGCCTGTAGGGAAAAGGTCAAAAGTTACTTAAGTTAAGTCAAGTTATAAAATACTCGTAACCTTGAATTAATTAGTTATTGAAATTTTGAGGATGACAATATGTTATTTTTAAATTATGTGACTTAAATAGTTTTACTTAAGTGTAGTGACTTAAGTTAAGTCATTTTATTTAAATTCAAAAATTGATATTATATTTTATTTATATAATTTTTAATTTTTGAAGTGACTTAAGTCACTTAGTGATGAGTCTAAAAAAAGGTCAGAAAGTCACTTAAATCAACTTCTAAATTTTCTTGAATTAATTAATTATTTAAATTTAGTAAATGGCAATATTCTTGTTTTTATTATGACTTAAGTCATATTTGAATATAGTGACTTAAGTAAAATCGTTTTATCTCGAACTAAAATCTTAGATAAATAAGTTTCAAAGATTTAAGTTAAATTTTAGTAATAACTGAAGCCACTTAGTGTTAAATCTTCAAGAAAATACTTCAAAAAGTCACTTAAGTTAAGTCAAGTTATAAAAATCCTTGAATTAATTAATAATATACAATTTAAAGATGACAATATTATATTTTTCCGACATGACTTAAGTTAAATCACTTTAATATCTACTGACTTAAGTCACTTTACTTAAATGTAAAAACAATAATAGAAATATAACTTTTTCTGTAAATTTTTATAAGTAACTTAAGTCATAACATAAAAGTAAAGTGACTTAAGTCACTTTTAGGAACTAATACTGCGTAGTTTGCCATTGACCACGAAAGTGACCACGAACATAATCAAAATTTATTCAACCGCCGAATTTAACATTCTTCAAGTTTACTTAAGTCCACTTAACCTTTACGCAATCGCTTCACCATCGCATATTATTAATATTTCAAAGGTGTAGACGAAAAATATAGTTCAATGTCATCACAAAAATTGTTTACGCTTGAAAAATTACTCAGAACTTAATAATTGCAGTTTAAGTACAATCACTGACAATTAAGTCAAAACACAAAATTTATGCGAATTCAAATAAGTCAAGTGCGTTCGTTGCTTTTTCGCAATTATTTACAATTTCCATGTTAATCGCTGATCAATGATTCAAATCAAAACTAATAGTATTGCACTTTATTTTATTACGAGTTGAAGGTTGTTTAAGTCTACTTAAACTAAGTAAACAATCGTTTAATTATGCTTACGCGGAAAGTATTCATCAATTTCCTGTAAAAAGTGAAAAAAACTTGGCGTGTGAAGTTAAACAAACAATTATGATGAAATTCATAATTACAATGCAATTTCAACACGTTTTAGAAATTGATTGATCAACAAATTAATTTCACTTTTACGTATTATTATAATTATTGTGAGGAATATTGTAATTAACTCACCAGTTTCGAATTTTTTGTAATTCTTTGTGTTTTCCTTCGGGGATTGTTTTCAGCCCGTCAAAAAACGGATGAGATGTCTTTGTCATATTCTAAAATTAATTAATTAATAAATAATTAGTGATTAGTTAATAATTTACCATTTTATTGCAGTTTTACACAATGGACACAGCACAAAAACTCACAACACGCGAATGAAAATGAAAATGAAAGTTGTTCACTTTCTGCAAGATGCAAAAACTGAACTCAACTGTTCGATGCGTTGTAGTTAACTGAACGAAGCAAAGTTTTACTTTACTCAGCCACTCCAGACAATATTTTGCTTCACCTCCATGCTTCCACACACTCTAACGATGATTATTAATTAATCAATATCTATGTGTACACACAATTATCACACTCATTTTGTGTTAATTTAAGTCATTTGACTTAAGTATCATGAATTAAGTCACATTACTTAAATGTAAAAAATTGGATAGTTAAAAAACTAGTTATTGATAAATTTCAGAAAAGTGATTTAATTTATTTATCTTGAGTAAAGTGACTTAAGTCACATTAGTATACTTAAGTAAAGTGACTTAAGTCACATTTATTTAAACTATAAAATAGAAATAATCAAATTAATTTGTAATTGATATGTCTCCAAAAGTGACTTAAGTCATATTACTTAACTATAATGACTTAAGTTATTTCTGTTCAATTTTTATTTCTCTCGCTGTCAACACAACATTTATCTTATATTTTTAATTTGAGTAATGTGACTTAAGTCTAAAGTCTCGTACATTTATGGTCGTTGATTGTTGTATTCAGAAATATTTATATAATGACGATGCACAATGAAGATAAATAGATAGGAAATTGCATAATGCTGTAACTGTACAGATTGTGTTCCTATTGGAATTGGAAACAAAGTGATGCACACGCATCACACAATCACTAAATACATAATGTAAGAAAATAGAAATTTTCGTACTTTCGTTTTTACTGCTTTGACAAATATCGACAATGTTTCGAAAAACTTGTCAAAACATACAACGGAAGTAATATTGTTAGCCAATTATTAAAAAATAATTAATTTGAATTGAATTCCTAAATTAAGTAAGTTAAGATTTAGTTAAGATGACTTAAGTTAAGTCAGGTAAATCCAGTTATGACTTAAGCCGAAAGTCAGTCACTCAGTCAGTGAGTAAGTAAGCCACCGATACCTACTACCTGCGCACTCAGCAATGATAAAAAACAAGTTGGGAAAAGTTAAGTCCAAATCGACTCGACTTAAGTCAAGTATGCAACGGTACATTTATGTTGCTTGCATTCTGCTGCAGTGCATTGCGTTGCATTCTGTTGCATTACTTACAGATGCTCGCAAGACTTTCACTTTTGGTGCGGTGCGCAAGTAACTTAAGTCACATCACAACAAACCACACATTGAAAGAGATTTTGAATATATATTTTTTTCAATGTTCAATCATAATATAAATAAATATTTAAATTATTTATGTTTTTAGCAAGTTAAGTTTACTTTTGAGAATTTACTTAAATTAAGTAAGTTTATTGTTGATGGAATTAAATAATACAAACTATTCAATCGGAGAAAGTGCGCACACATTTACACTTAAGTCATACAAACATTACTCGTGCTTAGATTGTGACTTATGTCTAAATATCAACAAATTTCAAACAAACTTTAAGGAACAGTAATTCTTCACATAACATTTAAAATAACATTAAGCGAAAATATTTGATATTTTAGTTTGTTTATATTGTCTATATTTACTTAAGTCACTTTACTTATAAATAGTGACTCAAATCAATTTGATTAAAAATTCCAGAATTGAAACAATGAAATAAATAAATAATTATTTATTGATAAGTTCCCAAAAGTGACTTAAGTCACTTTACTTAAGTATATTGACTTAAGTAACATTACTTAAATTAACTTAATTCAAATAATTAAATCAAATATTTATTAAAAAGTGACTTAAGTCATAATTTCATGATTATTGATTGACTTAAGTCATATAAGACTACATACTCCTACTAATATTAATCTCATTAGTCATTAGATGGCGTTTTAACTTAAGTCACTACACTTAAAACCTATTCAAGCAATGCTGTAACTATATCCATAACATGACTTAAGTCATAAGTGTGATAATAATTAAGTATCCAATATAGGTCAAAAGGTACTTGCTACCAAGCAATCACTCGATAATGTGCGGTTACACACAACAGCCGTAGCTGTATAGCAAGTGATTTAAGTGCATTTAATGCATTCGCGCATGCTCACACTTGCTCTACACCCAGCATTACACGATAGACAGACTTATATAATCAATGCATGACTTTCGTGACCGATTACATCATCATCAATTTATTTCCATGCAAAAACACCAAGATGCGCATGAAATGAAGAATAAAACGTAAATTCAATAAAGAATAAATCAAAACTTGCTGATTGTAATTTCAACACACGTGGGTTTACTTTTAAATTGGAATATGATAATAAATCCCTTATCGGTGGTTATAGCAATAAAATGAAATTATTCACAGATTTACTTGACTGAGGACAAAAATTAGAATGATTTTTATCGAGCGTAGCATTTACTTTATTATATTCAATTGTATTTTTTTTAATTCCTCTTTTATCAATTTCATTTTTTATATAAATACAAGTAAAAATATGGAATAAGTCAGTTGATCTGTTTATTAAGTACCCAACAAGTAACACAATGAAATTGGTAGTATTCTCTTTGGTTGTGGTTTTGGTCCTGGGAGCGGAAGGATACAGAGCTGGGGCTTCCATGTCTTCATCTTCCTCCTTCAGTGCTGGGTCACATCATGCTAGCATGGGAATGGGATACCGTCGTGATGGCTTTGATAACACCTATGAATTTGATAATAATGGTGATAAATGTGTCTGCACTGTTCCTGCTCCTCCACCACCACCTCCAAGTGGTTTGGTTAATGAATGCAAAGACCGTACAGTTGAGTACAATCCAGAAGTATTTGTTAATAGGGGAGATTAAAGAGGATAGATATTTGGAAGATGATATGGTGATAAGTAATCTTGTTACGAGTAGATTGATTCAATAAATGCTTCTCTGGATTATCTGTTTTATTTTATTGGTAGTACTTAAATGAAACAAATCATTTTTAAGGTTAAGTAAGGGTTTAAGTAATATTGGGGTCATACCAGTTCTTTTTCTCGAATCTGGGAATAAAAAAGGTTGGTATTGTTGGTAAGTTGTTTTTTGTTTATTTATTGGAAAGTTCCAAAAAGTGACTTAAGTGACTTTACTTAAGTAGTGACTTAAGTCACTTTACTTAAATCACCAAAATTCGAATAATTAAATTAAATAGTCATCAATAAGACCTGAAAAATGACTTAAGTCATAATTTCATGAGTATTAATTGACTTAAGTCACAGAAGACTACACACTACTAATCATTAGTCTATAGATGGCGCTTGTAACTTAAGTCACTTTACTTAAATCCTACTCATGGATTCTTTCAGAGACATTTTGGGATATTTCTCACCTGGTTCATCCCTTAACCAGTATTTTTTCTTTCTCACAAAAAACTTCATTTTTCTCTAAAATTTATAAGACCTTAATAATCATACCAAACGGTAGGTGTTTCAAAATTCTATCCATATATAGCAGGTATACCCTAAAAAGCACACTTTAAGCTTGCTTAAGTTTTCCATTTACTTACCGCAGATAAACAATTTCCTTTTTCGTAAACCAATTGTATATCCTTCCACACCTACCAAATATCTTTTATCTCCACCGATAAGAATAGAATATATTATTTTCCTGTTCACTTCCTTTACGATCCAAACTAAATTAAAATATATCGTGCGCAACGAATAAATCGATTCATTTCCATAATCCGCAGTGAAACATGGTACTTTTCATTCCCATAGATCATTACACTTTCTATATGAATCGCAGCCATTTTATATAAATACCTACCATCAAATTGAATACTTAACAGTTTATTACATATTACTAAACCATAATAAAGTGATCTATCACCTTAAATTCACCAAAAAACAAAAAAACAAATCAAAAATCAACCAAAAATGAAATTAGTGGTGTTATCACTGATGGTATTCCTCATTGTGGGAATTGACGCACTTTGGTCCCATGGTGGTGGTTTTGCTGGACACCATGCATCCAGTTCAATGGCGAGTTCCAGTGCTTCTAACTTTGGCAATTGGTATGTAATGCGTCGCAGTGCTCCTGGGGTGATCTACAACATTGAGAATGGAAATGATAAATGCGTATGTGTGGTGGATGAACCTGTGCCTCAGACGAAGGATGCCGAATGTATTTTGGATCAAGAGTTTGTTGAGGAGGCTAGGTCGGGGGAGATTATTTCTGGAGAGGATAGGAGAAAGTTTTGAAGAAATAAAAAATATGTTGATGAGGTTATAATGGAAGAATAAATCAAATGTCACATTAATCATTGTTTTATTTCATTGGAATTGATGGTAGATTTTGATGGTACCCTCCAGTTGTATATTCAGTATAAGTATTTAGTATTCAGTACTTATGAAAGTGTTTATGAGAATGAATATGTTTTTTTCTCATATGGATCGCTCGTTTTATTAGTCTTTAGGTAATAGTTGGACGCGTTGGCATTTTGGGCATTTGGGGTCTTGTTGGTTGTGTTGGTATGTTGCGCATAATCGTAAAGGAAACATTTTGAGGAATTGGGACGTAAGCTCCTTCGTAAGTCACTTTTACTGGAACACCATCTGTGGAAAAATATATTATTTAAAAGAAGGTTTTGGAGCACATCAGCAAAATTTAAAAAAAATTGTTTTTTGCTTTGGGTTCTAAAAATAATTCATTTTTTTGAAAAGTATTATGAGTATATGGTGAGGAATTAATTTCTCTTTAATATGGTAGAAATATTAATGCAGTGCGTTTAGTATTTTCCAAGATATTTTAGTTTTTTGGATTTTATTCAAAAACTATCAAATAAAATTTTTCAAAAAATTGATATTGCATAGATTATAGCTAAAGGTATTGTTCCTACAAATTTCAAAGTTTAATTTTAAGAATTCAAAGCAAAAAACGTTTTTTTTAATTTTTGAAATTTATTTTTTTTAAATTTTAAAATCTGTAATTTTAAATATCAAAACACCTTCAAATTATTTTTTTTTGTCTAAATACAAATCAAATCTTCCAAATTTTTATTCCTACTTACCAATAATTCTTGTATAACTTGGATTATCTGAAAAAACAAAATTAAAACAATTTTTTTTCAAATTAATCTCCAAAATCTTACGATAAACAATTTTTATCCCCTTTGAAGCACTCTCCACCGCATTCAACATCAGTAAACCCAGAACGAAAGCAACAAGCATCCTGCGATAAAAACAGAACTAAGTTACTAAACTACATAACATAACGAGCATAAACTTAACAAGAGCTCACAAGCCATACAAGTGCTTATCAAAACAAGCGAATGATATCATTGTTATTTTAATTTTATTACTTTTTTATGTCTTGTTATAAATAAAATACAATTTATTACCCAACAAATTAACTTACTTTATGCGATTCAATAATGAATTAAATTCTGCAGTTAATTGTTTTTAAATTTTTTAAATACCTCTAATAGTTTAAGAGATATTCAACTTTAAACATCATAACCTCACTTTTATACTATTAATATTAAAACGTATAAATATGACACTAGATGGCGTGATATACTATTGTAGATTGTAATTTCATGCATGAATTCAAAATTAATAAACAATCTGTTAATAATCATGCAATTAATTAATTAATAAACACAAACAACTTGTAATTAAAGTCAAATGCAAATAAATTATTCATAAACTACATATATAGGTACCACTTGATGGTATGCCGTTTAATTTCATCATGAATTGCTCAACGGTAACCGCTATTGTTATTCTGGCGTTAAATTACTTTAATATGGTTGAATTACAATTTGCAAAATGGGTCCCACCACCAGCATGGGTACCATATAGACCTGGTGTTCCTTATAGGCCCTTAGGCGTAGGCGTTCAATTACCTGCACCAGTTACTGTGGTCCAACCGGCTGTACCCATCGGTATAGCTCCGGTTCATGCAGCAGTTCCTGGTATTCCTTTGGATGGAAGACCACCAGTTGTAATGGACACCTCCAACCGCATCGTAGTAGAAAATAATCACTTTGGAAATACTCCAAAGGTGCATTTATTGTCTTATCAATGGAGGAATCCTAATGGTGATGAATGTGTTTGTAAAAAAAGACCTGGAAGTGGACCCACACCACGAATGGGTATGTAAAGGTACCTAGGTTGAATAATAATATTTTTGGTTGGTTTTTTATATTGTTCTGTTTATTTTTTAGTTTACTGTGATTAAAGTTTGTTTACTTAAAATCCAGGCGTTGAATAAAGAGCGTTTATGCTATTTTGATGTCTCACCATCAAGTTACTCTCCCATGAAATTAAAATTGTATGATCCTTAATAAGCTATCGGCATTAATACAATTTAAACAATAGTATAATATGCGTACAAATTAACTCCTATAGAATTTAGTATTTTGGGCAATTCCCCAATTTCCTACTTCATTTCATGTCCGAAAATAGGCCCAAAATAGACTATAAAAACCCACGATGGTTATGCCGCATTTGTCAGTGGTCCAGCTGCCTGATAGACTGTTTTCCTGAGAATTTCAAATAGTTTTTGAAACAAGATGAAATTGGTGGTGTTCTCGTTGATGGTGATCCTTGTGCTTGGAGTTGATGGGATTTTCAGAAAGAGGGGAATGTATAGGCAAGACGAGGACGACGATGAGGACAATATTTATGCGGTTAAGAACATGGGTGATAGTTGTCTATGTTTTGAACCCACTGAGGAGGCCAGGAACGATGAGATTATTGATCCGGAGGTGGAGGAATTGGTTTCCAGGAGGCGTGGAAGGCGTGGACTTCCGTCACTCAAACGTCTACTTACCAGGATGTTCATGAAATAATGATTTTATTATCTTCTTGTATTATCTTATCAAATGATATTATTGATTCAATAAATTTCAAGTTGCACCACAAAAATTTTGGGTTTTTGAATATTTTGCTTAAAAAATTGACGGTACCCTCTTAATTTTAACAAAAAATTAAAGAAAAACATTTTAATCATTATTTTAGGTTGTTTTTTTTTATAATAAAAATATTTATTCAAGCAGAAATAAATTTTTTTTTAAAGATTTTCCCTGAAAAATTGATGGTACCCTATTAATTTGAAGGAAAATATGTTGATAAGCATATTAATCATTATTTTAGGTTAGGTTTTTTATAATAAAATGATTTATTCAAACACAAATGAGTTTTTAAAAATATTTTACCTGAAAAATTGAAGGTACTCTCGTAAATTCTGAAAAAATAAATAAAAAATCATTTAATTTTGATTTTTAAGTTAGTTTTGTTATCAAAACCTAACCTATCAAATTATTTTTAAATTTTTTAAATTTTTTTTTGATAAAAATTGTTTATTACCATATTTTGACCTCTAAAAGTAATTATTTTATTGTTTACATTTTGACCATAAACTCTTGGATGTTATAATTATTCATATCATATTTGGTAATAACTGAATTTGGTATTAATGAAGTTTTCCAAGTTTTGCGCAAATGGTACCACATGAAGTCGAGTCTGTCACCGAATCAAGTGGTACCCTCTACTCACCTTTACCTAACAAATACAAAAGCTTTCCAAAGTGCCTCAGCAACAAACCCTTTATATAACTTTTCATTTTTGTTTTAATGGAATAAGTATTTAATTATTTCGTATTTCTTTGTCCTGAATAATTAATTCTGAAAAAGTAAAACAGTTTTATTAACTAATCAATTCCATTACCAAATAGTTTTATAACCTCACCTTTAAAAAATGAGTTCTGCTCTGAATAATCTTTTAAATTATAATATAATGTGCGTGGAAATGAAGTTGATGCAATTTACAATTTAAGGTTCTTTCAATTTTCTACATCATTAGTGTTAATATAATTCTGCGCTATAAAAGCGCTCGATTGAAACTGGAATTTCAACCAGTTGTAGAAAAACTGACCCTGATAGTTGTCTTCTGAAGAGTTACCAAGTTCCCATAAACACCAAGATGAAATTAGTTGTGTTTTCGTTAATGGTGATCCTGGCGCTTGGAGTCGAAGGGCATTTTGGTCGAAGGTCATTTCGCAGGTCTGATTTGGAGGAGGAAGAGGCGATTTATAACGTCAAGAACCTCGGCGATAGTTGTCTTTGTTTCGAACCAGTGAGCAAGGAGGAATTAATAGAGGAGGTCGAAGATGAGGTGGCAAGAAGAGCAGGAGGAATATATGATTATAAAAATAATCATTTGATACCAAGGTTCGACTAAAAAATTGCAAAATTTTTGATTACAACTTTAATTCAATAAAGATTAGCATGAAAATATTTGTTTTATTATTTGGTACCCTTGAGTATATTCTATAACCTAAGTTATTGAATAAATAATTTTATTTGATAATATAAGATAATAAAGAGCATAATATAATTATTATTTTATGAAATGCTGGTAAGTGGAAGTAAGTAGTGTTAGGTTGGGTTTTTATCCAAAAAACTAACCTAAAATTCAAAATTAAATGATTTTTTATTTATTTTTTGAGAATTTAAGAGGGTACCTTCAATTTTTCAGTGGAAATATTTTAAAAACTCATTTCTGTTTGAATAAATCTTTTTATTATCAAAAACCTAACCTAAAATTATGATTAATATGCTTATCAACAATTTTTCCTTCAAATTAAGAGGGTACCATCAATTTTTCAGCGAAAATTTTTCTAAAAACTTATTTCTGTTTGAATAAATCTTTTATTATAAAAACTAACCTAAAACAATGATTAATATGCATATCAACAATTTTTCCTTCAAATTAATAGGGTATCATCAATTTTTCAGGGAAAATCTTTTAAAAAACTTATTTCTTTTCGAATAAATCTTTTTATTATTAAAAAACTAACCTAAAATAATGATTAAAATGTTTTTCTCCATTTTTTTTGTTAAAATTAAGAAAGTACCATCAATTTTTATGCAAAATATTCAAAAAACCAAAATTTTTATGGTGCAACTCGAAATTTATTGAATTAATAATATCATTTGATAAGATAATACCAGAAAATAATATAATCATTATTTCATGAATATTCTGGTAAGTAGACGTTTGAGCGACGGAAGTCCACGCCTTCCACGCCTCCTGGAAACCAATTCCTCTACATCTGGATCAATAACCTCATCGTTCCTGGCCTCCTCGGTGGGTTCAAAACATAGACAACTATCACCCATGTTCTTAACCGCATAAATATTGTCCTCATCGTCGTCCTCGTCTTGCCTATACATTCCCCTCTTTCTGAAAATCCCATCAACTCCAAGCACAAGGATCACCATCAACGAGAACACCACCAATTTCATCTTGTTTCAAAAACTATTTGAAATTCTCAGGAAAACAGTCTATCAGGCAGCTGGACCACTGACAAATGCGGCATAACCATCGTTGGTTTTTATAGTCTATTTTGGGCCTATTTTCGGACATGAAATGAAGTAGAAAATTGAAGAATTGTCTAAAATACTAAATTCTGTAGATGGATAGAAGGATCACCATCAAAGAAGAACACCACCAGTTTCATACTTTTTCACTAAAATTATCAAAAGTACGATAATTCTAACCAACTAAAGGAAAAAAACAAAATGTTTTTTAACCTTACTTTCACAACCCTTATTTATATTATATGTATCTAAGAGGGTACCATAACTTATTTTATCCTCCTCACCATCAATACAAGGTGGTATGTCTTAGAATATTTGATCCTACCATCAGATTCAATAGAAACCCATAAAATTATCATTTACCAGATATTATTCAATGTAGTTACCTTTGGCCTTTATAAAAATTTAGTATAACTGGCAGTTCCAGGTACCAGGAATACCTTCTGTGTGATTTGAATATTTTTAGGGTCTTTACAAATGATTTTTTTAATTTCATGCCAAAAATCAAAAATTGTAATCACAAATTTAAAAAATACTGTTTTCATAAATTTTAATTTTACGTACCAATAATAACTTATCATAACCTCACTTTTACAATTAAATCATTTTGGTCTGTAATCAATTTTCCATAATATAAGAAAATGAAAAATTAACTCAAATGACCACTTTTCCTATTAAATCAAATTCAATTATACCATAATTTGCGTGGAAATGAAATTTATACAAATTAATATTTTAGGATTCATCCAATTATATAAATGATTACTCAGGAGAATATTCTTCCAATATAAAAGCCTGTGGTTCAAACAAAGTATGCATCAGTTATTTTCCTGATTTTTCTGAAAAGTTACTAACAACATCAATACCAACATGAAATTGATGGTAATCCCTTTAATGGTGATCCTCACTCTTGCAGTGGAAGGCCACTTTGGTAGAAAGACATTCCGCAGGTCTGATTTAGAAGAAAACGTGGAGCCAATTTACAAAGCCAGAGACCTAGCCGAAACATGTCTGTGCTTTGACTCAGCAAACATACAAAAAACACTTCAGGAGTCTGAAGACGAAGCAGCTCGTCGCATCTTTTTCTTGTTACCTGATGAAGATTACCCGTATTACGAACCGCCATCATATTATAAATAAATATGTAATATGTTTAAATATATAATATTACAAAATATTCAATTGTTTCCATTTTCAAAAATAACCTTAAAAATATTTATAACCTCACTTGACTTATTTACCACATGATTCATGATCCATAAATAACATTTCTTAATATAGCGTGATTAACTCATATTATAGTCATTGCAAATCACTGCAGCTGCTCCCAATGAAAACTGTTTAAATTAAAATATAATATGCGTGGAAATTAAATTTATACAATTTTTATACCATATGGATCTGCCAATTTTATACATCATTACTGATATAGATATTCTTGGCGTATAAAAACTCATGGTCCCAACCACAAATGCATCAGTTGTCTAGCTGACCCATTGTCGTCCATTGAAGTCACTTAAGTCACTTAAGTCAAAATCAAAAACAAGATGAAATTGGTTGTATTATCAATGATGGTAATCTTTGCACTTGGAGTTGATGGGATTTTCCCTAGACCAGGAATGATTCGGAAGGTTTTGGAAGACGATGAGGAACCTATTTATGACGCTAGAGAACTGAGTGACAGTTGTCTTTGTTTTGATCCTGTAAGCGCGCAAGATGCACTCGTAGATGCCGAAGAAGCGAGAAGACGACGAGGACGGCGATCATATGGATTTCCATGGATATAAATAAATAATAACAATAAATTTATTTGAAATTTAAAAATATTTGATTGAAGTGTGGTTAGAATGAATCATAAAAAATTACATAACCTCATTTGATTTGTTTGTGGTCTAGTATTTATTTATGGAGATTACAGTTAAGGAAAATGATCGATTTCATAACTTATCGAATAATATGCGTCCAAATTGAGTTCATACAATTTCGTATTTTAGGGATTCCCAATTTTCTACATCATTAATGATTAATTTATTCTGTTGCTATAAAAGCGCATTATTCGGTCAGGAAAATGTATCAGTTCCTTCCTTGACTGAAAAATACTTGTCAATTGACAGAAAAGTAAAAAGTCCAAGTATCAAGATGAAATTATTGGTGTTGTCTTTAATGGTGATCCTCTTGTCATCGCTTGGAGTCGAAGGGTATGCCAGGCGTGGGTTTTTACGCAGGACCACTGCAGAGTTGGATGAAGAGCCGGTTTATGAAGTGAAAAACGTCGGCGATAGTTGCCTCTGTTTTGATCCTCTAACCAGGGAGGAATTATTGGAGGAGATTGAAGAAGAGGCCAGGAGACGAGGGCGTCGATTTTAACCTGTAATACAATCTACAGTGTATGATTTATCACTGATTGAATAAATGAAATATTGCAAGTATTTTGATTTGTTTTATTGTTTTTATTGTTTTTATTGTTTTTATTGTTAAAGTGTGGTTAGGGAATGGTTTCAGATACAAAAACCAACATAACCTTACTTTTATAACTTGATTTTTAGGGTTGCAAACGTTATTTTCATTTTTTTGAAGCCAAAAAGAGAATAGTTGCTGGAGGAAGTCAAAGAAAAAGTAAAGAGAAGTATATTCTATAAAAAAATCCATTTTTTTAAAATTTTTATTAATTTCTTCTTCAAAAAGCATAAAAATAAGGTTATGTCACCTTTTAAGGTAAGGTTATATTTTTAAGCAAACAAAATTTTCTTTTGGACCATAAAAGCATTATAACTGAACTTTGGTGTATTCATTTATTTTGATTTACAAATTGAAATTTTGTGGACTCTAATTACACCGCTATTATTGGATTTTTTGCAATTTTCTACATCATTAAATATCTTAATAAATTCAGATGCTATATACGTATGATTACGGCTCAAATCTGCAGGTTATTAACGATATTAAATAGCTGGTACTTCATTTGATTGTAAGTACTTCAGTGCAACCAGACTAGATCTCAGTGTAAGAGAATATTAAACTATATTTTGAGGTTATTTGAGGTTAAAAAATTAAGGGTAAAACAAAAGCACATTTTGGGTACGTTTACCATAAAATTTTAAACTTAAAGTTAATTTAAACTATAATTTAATAAATTAAAATAAGTTTGATTAATTTTTAATTTTTTTCTTTTTTGAAAAAATTTCTGTCTTGATTCAAAAATCCAATTAAACTACTTTTGTTCTGTTTTAGGTAAAGAATAAACCAAACCCAACTTACCGCCAAATTGGTCAATAATATAATAGGCATATAATAATATATAATTAAAATGGTAATCCGAATAATTGCGTCCCTTTAACCGTTTCTATATAATTCTTTAATATGCGTACGAATTAATTCTATACAATTTTATATTTAAGGGTTTGCTTAATTTTCTCCATCATTTCAAACCATAATAAACCCCGGCATATATAAATACTGTCATGCCTTCATTTATGGCAAGTTATTCTTCGATAGTCCGCAGTCCGCACAGCAAGATGAAGTTGGTGGTGTTCTCATTGCTGGTGGTCTTTGTCCTTGAGTCACAAGCATTCCGATACTTTTGGTATACTCCTACTCTTGGTACAACTTACCCGGCTATCCCTTATCCACAATACCAACCTCCTTACCGTCAATATAAATACCGGTATTCTGCCAGCGCGGTTTCATACTTCCGCCATCTTCTTTCGACCATTTATCCTCGGACTACGTATTGGTCTAGAAATGAACCTGAATTTGATTTGAGTGACGAGTATGACGAGGGGCCTGTGCCTGAATTGTATGGTATCATCGAGGAGGGACGACGATGTATCTGTGAAAAGTCACTACCGGCCACCAAAGAGATGTATCTAAAGAGTCTATTTCGCAAGTAGACTTTACTTTAGAATACCAGATAATTATTTTGTTCTGTATTTTGTTAGTTGTCTTATTAATGCTGTATTGGATGGTAACACTTGAAATAAAAATACTTAAAGTTTCTGATGCATGATTTATTTATATTTAGGTTTAGGGGGTATATATTGATGGTAGGTTAGTATTTATAACCTCCGTAGTATCCTAAGCTTCGGGAACCACGACCTGGGATGTTATAACCTACATAACGACCTCCGTAGCTTCCGAAATTCCTGGATGTATCTGCATTGTCTGTTACTACTCTGTAGTCATCAGAGAGGGTACCATCTCCTATTGGATAACCTCCAATTAATCCACTTGTATATCCACCACTTATTTGACCTCCTGCACCTCCTGTACCACCTCCAATAGCAGAAACTGTTCTGGAATATTTTAGCCTACCACCATCATTAAAACCAACCCTACCTCCTCCTCCTACTCCTATCTCACCAGGTGAAATTGAACCTGATGAATATTTAGTGTAACTAACACTCCTAGGTGCGGAATAAGTTGAGGCTGAAACTATTGATGGTATTGATGATCCTGTTTTGGAATAATGGACACTTCTAGCACCCATCATGGGTATACCTTGAATATCTATCTGGTTCTCAGGTATATTTACCTGTCTAGAAGCTTCTAACACACCTTCTGATTTTATAATTTTCGTGGGGACTTGTGGGTAGGAATCATGCTCAAAAATGTTATTGTTTTCATGGTATGTGGATATACCAGGTGTTACTGAGTTAGGATATCTGATAACTCTTGCTGTTGGTTTGGTATTAATAAAAGTAGATTCTTCAGGGTAATTAACCATTCTGTTGATATCATAACCTTCTTCTCCCTGGATAACTGATAGTGGAGGTGTGTTTCTTTGTATAACCATTCTGGGAGATACCAAAGAAGCTGGGTCTCTACAGATTGTTGGTATGGTTGTACTCTTTTCCTTTTCACCATCATCCTTTTCTGCTGTTTTTGGTGTTTCAATGGGTGTTACTTCTTTGTAGGACGCTGTTGTAGCTGGTATGATCATTGGAGCTTGTGGTACATTGAAATTAACATCAGGTGTACCCGAAATCCCTGGTGTTTTATCCACCAATGGAATTTCTTCTTTTTGTTCTGTTTTAAAACCTGCTTCAAAATTGATATCAACAGGTTTATCTTCTACACCTGTAATAAACACATTTTAACTCCTGGTATACCTTCAATCAATAACTCAACCATACCTTTAATTTCTGGATATTCTGTATTACTCTCCTCTTTTAAATGTTTGTTAATACAAACACAAGTATCTCCATTACCAGCAACCGATTGATACAAATTATCCAACGATGTGGTACCACCAGTAAAGGCACACGTGAGCAGAAAACACAAACATGTAGTATACATTGTGATAACCTGAGTTTACCCACATGTTTAACATATATTTATAGTGAAATTTAAATTGTTTTGTGATTATGTTTATGCAGTGGTAATTTTGTTGTTGTAGCACTCCATTGAAGGTGTACCATCAAAAGAAATAGCCCTTGTCTTGCATTAATTTTCCACCCAATTTACACCGATAATAAAAGTAATAAAGAAACACTTATAAACATGGCGGAACAATTTATTCAACGGCATACCATGAAATTATTCGCATTGCCAATGACAATAGGTGCGATAAGTAATTCATGATTATTTATTGATATTAATGTGAGCAATGTAAACCACAATCAATTTTTACAATAAACTTTATGGTATTCTCATAACAATCAAGATTCAAGGTATTCCTTAATAATAATAATAATAAACACATTTTTATTGTGGGTACCATGAGTTTATTAGTTTTGATCAGAATTCAACAAAACAGTTTTGCATACAACATTACCCTGAAGATTATTGAGGTCTATACCTTGAAAATCATACTGTAGACCTTTGATTTCTGACTTTATGTATTTTTTAAATTCATCAAGCATAACTTGAGAAATTGTTTCAGATTGCATGGAATCTGATGGTAGGAATGACTTCCGCTTAGCTCCGACTTGACTTAAGGCAGTTAGAAACCCAGCGATGTAAGGTACGGCTTTGTTAACAAGATAACCAGGTATGTCCATTAGTTTATCCAGGATTATATCACCAGCTGTTGGTTTACCTGGTCTTTGACCTGCTCTATTCTTTCTCAAATGTCCAACTAAAAACTGTTCATCTTTTGCATCCAATAACTCTTTTCGTTTCTTATGATGACATCTATGCCTTCCACGTCCAGCTAAACAAAAATTTTTATTATTAAACTCTTGGAATTTAAAAATAAAGGGGGTACCTGGAAAAGCTGGAGGTGCCACTGGAAAGTTCTCATAATCCACAATTCCCTCCTCAGCTTGACTCTGACTACAACCAATAATAAAAACAAAACAGAAGAAAAGTGACCATAATGTAAAGGTACCCATTTTGTGGTAATAAAAGTATTAATAAGGTGTGCCATATTCAAAATCTTATATTTATACAACGGTTCAATTAATTTTATGATTAAAAATAATCGTAACCAAAACAATTGCACATTGTTAATTCGTAAAATATAATTGGTTTATAATTGAGTCCAATTAATCGAGTAATTATTAAGTGATTATAATTGAAACGCAGTAATTAAATTTGTTTAACACCAGTGATGGAATTTCCGTTGGGTATCTGACAATTGTTCTGAATGAATAATTTTATCTAGGTTAACAGATTCTGGTCCACGTATTAACCTACGTAGTTGTAGGATTTTATCAACTAACGGTTTGAGTTGTCTCACCACATTATCTTCTTCAGGTGTGTCCTTTAACAACAGTAGTGGTACTGCTGGTATTTTTACTATGTCCTCTCCATGTTGTCTGTATGAATCACTGGTTAATAATGCTATGACACTGTTTATTAAATTCTTATCTCCGTTCGGGTCGTAGGTTGGTTTTTTGAATGGTTTGTAGTGTAGTGGTTGTCTGTCTGCTGGTAGGGATCTCTGGTCTAGCTCGATTTGGTCCATTTTTAGTTTAAAGTCAAGTTCTAGGGCTTCAAGGAGTTTGGTGGATTCCTGAAGATTGGTTTTGGGTAATTTAGAAGAGGTTTGTAGGGTTCTGCCTTGAGAGTTGACTTTTTTGTCGTTTTCAAAATCAAGATCAAAATTGTCGTAATCGGAGAATTTGCGGAATGTTTGTGAGACTGGTTCTATTTTGTCGTTGGTGTAGTCATCGAATTCTGCGTCTTCGTTTTCTTCTTCTTGGGGTATTTGAGAATTGGCTTTGCGTTGAGAGAAATATTTATCAAAATCTGACTGATACTGAATAATTGGTTCGTCAACTCTGGCATAAATCTTGTTGTCTACTGGTGGTTGAAATTGAAATTCAGAATCCCTGTAATTTCTGTCAATGGTTAGATGTTTAGGGTTTATTAGTTTTCGGTAGACCTTTTCTGGAGTACTTGTTTGAAAAGAAATATCAAGTGAACTTTGGATTTTAGAAGTTCCATCTGGATTTCTAACGAGATAATATGTTCTGGGTTTGTATTCTGATGTAGCGTGTATTTCAGGTATGTTTATTTGGATAGCAGATCCATCTGGGTTTTTGTAGATAAACAATCCCTTACGTGATGAATCACTTGATGTTTTAAGTTGGATATTTCCGGTATCATTTTGTTCATAAATTGGGTTTGGTTGCTTATAAACAAGTCTTGTATTTTCACCTTGAGTTTTGATATTCAAAATTGGAGAATTTAACCCTAAAGTTCCATCAACCCCATATGATCCAAGATTTACCAAGGTACCATCTGGATTCCTTTTAAAATAATATCTGGTACGCACTGATCCAGTTTCTAATTTTCCAAGTGGATTTCCAGATGAAATTTCTACCGAAGGATCATCTTCTTCAGTTGTTGCAATTTGGGTTATAGGACCTCCTGGATATTTGTAACTCAAAGTTGTTTTTCCACCTTCTGCTTTGACATCTCCCAATGTACTTAGTTTTTCTAAGGTTCCGTCAGGATGTCTTTTAAAATAATATGTTGTACGCACTGATCTATCATCAGATTTAACAAATTGGTTGCCAGAGTGGATTTCTGTTGAAGGACCATTTTCTTCAGTTGTTGCAATTTGGGTAATAGGGCTCTCTTGATATTTGTAACCCAATATGGTATTTCCATCATTTGTTTTGATATTCAAAATTGGAGGATTTAACCCTAAGGTTCCATCAACTCCAGATGATCCTATATTCACCAAGGTACCATCTGGATTTCTTTTAAAATAATATCTGATACGCACTGATCCATCTTCAGATGTGCCAAATTGGGTTCCAGATACGCTTTCTGTTGAAGAACCCTTTTCTTCAGGGGTTGCAATTTGGGTAATCGGACCTCCTTGATATTTGTAACCCAACATTGCTCTTCCACCATCTCTAAATATACCTTTTCTCTTTTCAGGTACAAATTGTACCGAAGAACTAATTTCTTCAGGTGATTGGACTTCAACAGATGTACCCGGTGAATATGTTTCTGTATAACTACCATCTGCATTCTTGGTAATAAACACTGCCTTGCGAGATGTAGGGTATGCTGATGAACCAACAGCGTAAGCTCCACCTGATTGTCCACCCTCTGCATAAACAATGGATCTTAAAGGTTGGTATTCTGTAGTAGCTTCAAAACCAGGTGTTGCAATTTGCTCCATGGTACCCTCACGATTATTTTGGTTAATTAGAATATTTGTTTCTTGTGGTTTGTTTTCAACTCCAGGTGTGACATATTGGGTATAACCGCCATTAGGATTCCTTTGGATAAAGAATGCTTTTTGTAATGGTCCTTCCACACCAGGTGTTGCTATTTGTTCAAAAGTACCAGCTGGATTTTTGGAAATGAATAAAGCTTTACGCAATCCTCCCCTTCTTTGGGTAATAACAGGATCTGTAGACTGACTATCTTCTTCTATATTCTCATCACCAGGTGAGGCATGTTGTTTATAAGCACCACGTGGATATTTTGGAATTAACAATGCTTTTCTTGATGGCCTTTGGGTGGTTTCTTCTTCAGGTGTTGAAAATTGGTTATAAATACCATGAGGGCTTCTTTCATCAAGCAATGCTTTACGGGCTGAAGGACCTTCCACACCAGGTGTGGCAATTTGTTCAAAGGTACCATCTGGGTTTTTACTAATAAATAATGCTTTACGGGATGTTCCACTCTCTGGGGTATCACCAGGAATTATAGGTTTACTACCTTCTTCTATGTTCTCTACACCTGGTGTGGCAAATTGGGCATAACCTCCATTTGGATCTTTTTGAATAAGCAATGCTTTTCTTGATGGCCCTTGGGTGGTTTCTTCTTCAGGTGTTGAAAATTGATTATAAATACCATGTGCACTTCTTTCATCAAGCAATGCTTTTCGGGCTGAAGGACCTTCCACACCAGGTGTTGCTATTTGTTCAAAAGTACCATCTGGGTTTTTGGAAACGAATAAAGCTTTGCGCAATCCTCCTCCTTCTAGGGTCATAACAGGATCTGTAGATTGACTATCTTCTTCTATATTCTCATCACCAGGTGATGCATGTTGTTTATAAGCACCACGTGGATATTTTGGAATTAACAATGCTTTTCGAGATGGCCCTTGAGTGGTTTCTTCTCCAGGTGTTGAAAATTGGTTATAAATGCCATGTGCACTTCTTTCATCCAAAAATGCTTTACGGGCTGAAGGACCTTCCACACCAGGTGTTGCAATTTGCTCAAAGGTACCATCTGGGTTTTTGGAAACGAATAAAGCTTTGCGCAATCCACCCCCTTCTAAGGTAATAACAGGATCTGTAGGTTGACTATCTTCTTCTATATTCTCATTACCACGTGATGTATGTTGTTTATAAGCACCACGTGGATATTTTGAAATTAACAATGCTTTTCTTGATGGCCCTTGGGTGGGTTCTTCTTCAGGGGTTGAAAATTGGTTATAAATGCCATGTGCACTTCTTTTATCCAAAAATGCTTTACGGGCCGAAGGACCTTCAACACCAGGTGTGGCAATTTGCTCGAAGGTACCATCTGGGTTTTTGCTAATAAATAGTGCTTTACGGGATGTTCCACTTTCTGGGGCATCCCCAGAAATTATAGGTTTACTGCCTTCTTCTATATTCTCAACTCCAGGTGTAGCAATTTGAGAATAACCTCCATTTGGATCTTTTTGAATAAACAATGGTTTTCTTAATGGCCCTTGGGTGGTTTCTTCTTCAGGTGTTGAAAATTGATTATAAATACCATGTGCACTTCTTTCATCAGGTAATGCTTTACGGGCTGAAGGACCTTCAACACCTGGTGTGGCAATTTGCTCAAAGGTACCATCTGGATTTTTGCTAATAAATAATGCTTTGCGGGATGTTCCTCCTTCTGAGGCATCAACAGGAACTGTAGATTGACTATCTTCTTCTATATTCTCATCACCAGGTGAGGCATGTTGTTTATAAGCACCACGTGGATATTTTGGAATTAACAATGCTTTTCGAGATGGCCCTTGAGTGGGTTCTTCTTCAGGTGTTGAAAATTGATTATAAATACCATGTGCACTTCTTTCATCAAGCAATGCTTTTCGGGCTGAAGGACCTTCTACACCAGGTGTTGCTATTTGTTCAAAAGTACCATCTGGGTTTTTGGAAACGAATAAAGCTTTGCGCAATCCTCCCCCTTCTAGGGTCATAACAGGATCTGTAGATTGACTATCTTCTTCTACATTCTCATCACCAGGTGAGGCATGTTGTTTATAAGCACCACGTGGATATTTTGGAATTAACAATGCTTTTCTTGATGGCCCTTGCGTGGTTTCTTCTGCAGGTGTTGAAAATTGGTTATAAATGCCATGTGCACTTCTTTCATCCAAAAATGCTTTACGGGCTGAAGGACCTTCCACACCAGGTGTGGCAACTTGCTCAAAAGTACCATCTGGATTTTTGGAAATGAATAAAGCTTTGCGCAACCCTCCCCCTTCTAGGGTCATAACAGGATCTGTAGACTGACTATTTTCTTCTATATTCTCATCACCAGGTGAGGCATGTTGTTTATAAGCACCACGTGGATATTTTGGAATTAACAATGCTTTTCTTGATGGTTCTTGAGTGGTTTCTTCTTCAGGGGTTGAAAATTGGTTATAAAGGCCATCAGTGCTTCTTTCATCAAGCAATGCTTTACGGGCTGAAGGACCTTCAACACCAGGTGTGGCAATTTGCTCAAAAGTACCATCTGGATTTTTGGAAACGAATAAAGCTTTGCGCATTCCTCCCCCTACTAGGGTCATAACAGGATCTGTAGATTGACTATCTTCTTCTATATTCTCATCACCAGGTGAGGCATGTTGTTTATAAGCACCATATGGATATTTTGGAATTAACAATGCTTTTCTTGATGGCCCTTGAGTGGTTTCTTCTTCAGGTGTTGATTCTTGGTTATAAATGCCATAAGTGCTTCTTTCATCAAGTAATGCTTTTCGGGCTGAAGGACCTTCAACACCAGGTGTTGCTATTTGTTCAAAAGTACCATCTGGGTTTTTAGAAACGAATAAAGCTTTGCGCAATCCACCCCCTTCTAGGGTCATAACAGGATCTGTAGATTGATTATCTTCTTCTATATTCTCATCACCAGGTGAGGCCAATTGTTTATAAGAAGTATATGGATATTTTGGAATTAATAATGCCCTTCGAGATGGTCCAGCCACTGGAGCAACCACAGGAACCCTATTTTGTCTATCATCTTCTATGTTTTCTACACCAGGTGTAGCAATTTGTTCCAGGGTACCATCTGGATTCTTTTGAATGATTAATGCTTTCCTTGCTGGTCCAGGTCCATTTTCAGATTTTAAAGGAACAGTTGCAGTATATTGATGTCTAAATTGAATTCTGTCAACAATTGCAGATACTTCTCTTGCAAGTGGAAGGAATCCTGGATATTTACTTTCATCAAATCGAATAAACTGTGGATACGGCGGTAGAGGTGGCATGTCCGGCAAACCTTCGTACTTCAGCCTGTGAAGTAATCTAGCATATGATGCAATATATAAATTATATATACGCAAGTCCTGATCGTTAGCATCATACAAGTATTTAGGCATTGTAAAGTTTTGGTTGACAATATCTTGCTCCTCAGGAGGTTTCAATGCATCACGTTGTTGAATATTACGAAGCATCTGCTCGAAAAGTATGACGGATGCTATATTTTTTTTGAGGATATCAGTAAGAGGTTTTATGTCTCTGTTGGTGTTGGTTATGTCTTTGGCTTCTGATAGGAGGAGTGATTTTCTGAAACCATAGTTATTATCAGATCGTACCACTAATCCAGGACCACTTGGGGATTCGTCAACTACAACGCGGTCTCCTACTTCAATGGAGGCTAATCTTGGTCTTCTTGGAGGTGGTGGAGGTGGTAGTTGTCCAATATTTGGAGGAGGAGGTCCCGATGGAATAGGACCAGGAGAACTTTGCCCATATGGAGGAGCAGGTCCTGATGGAAGGGGACCAGGAGGACCTCTGTCCAATTGGAGGAGGAGGTCCTGGTAAAAGAGGACCAGGAGGTATCTGTCCAATTTGTGGAGGAGGAGGTCCAGATGGAAGAGGTCCAGGAGGTCCTTGCCCAACAGGAGGAAGAGGAGATCTTGGTGGAATGGGTCCAGGAGCACCTTGTCCAAACGCCGGCGGAGGTCCTGCTACTACTGGACCAGGAGGTCCAAATGCACCTATTGCTAACGGTGGTGGAGGTCCCACTGCAATAGACCCAGGAGCAACTACTCCCACTGGATCAGGCCCAACTGGTTCCCTAACTGATATACCCAAAAACCTCGTTATCCCACCAATCAAAGGATACTGCCTTATTATTGGTGTAACAGCATTCCCAACAATCGAAACAATCTTCGCTCCTAATCCATCACCCAAAATTGGCCACGGTGGTAAGAAAGGTGGTCTCAACCCAGGACCCACAGATATTCCAACACCAACTGGAGGTGGTCCATAAGCTGCTGGTGGAGATAGAGGTGGACGTGCAATCATTCCAGGTGGGACCTGCCCTTGTCCCTGCCACGCAACAGCCAACAAAAACGGCACTAACCTCCACGTGGTAATCATGTTCCCCGAAAAACAATTAAAATCACTTAGTAAAGTCATCAATTTCGAGGGTTTTATATAAAAACAAGCAAATTAATCGATTAACGCCTATCGCACAATTTTACAGAAACAATCAATTCGAATACATTGTTTATTGTTTTTTTAATTAATTCCAGGCATAAAACAAACAACAACAAAAAGCTTATTACCAGAAAGAAATGTATTTAAATTTATGACAAATCGGCGGAAAATTACTCATTGTCATCGTTGCACACATGCTCCTGCAGTTGTTTTTGTTCTTCAGGTGTTCTATCTTGGAGGAATTCATCTAAAAACCCAAAATAAATAAACAACCTTTATCTGTAACCACAAACATCAAATACCCATAAGACGCGACATCAATTCAACCGAATTTTCATTCCCATTATCATCTTCATCAGACTTTGCATCAGGTGCGCTTGTAAATTCAAATTCATTTGGTTCTGATGTAAATGGGTCTTCATCATCATCTTTAGAATCAGCATCACCAGACAACTCAGGATAATTTGAAACATCAAACTTTTCATTGGGATCTTCCTCATCAAAATCAAACAAACCTTCATCACTATCACCATCCCTGGCATCACCATCATCAGGATCATCATCATCTGATCTATCTTCAGGTGATATATCTTCAGATCTATCAAAAGGTTCTTCACTATCATCATTATCAGATGGATGTTGTCTTGTTGATTCAAATGATTCTAAAACCCATTTATTTATTACAAAATCTGTATTAAATCAATACTTACCTAAATGAGTATAACATGAATCCGGACATGTTTCAGGTAGGTCCCTATTTGACAACGCCCCCATAAGTGAGTCTTTAAACCCATCAATGAGGTCATCACTCAAGGTTTCAGGCACATAGCACGAGTTGGGACACTCAGTGTCATCCTCATCACTCCTCAACAATTCCGCTATCCGTGGATAAAACTTTTCGCCCATATCCTGTACGCATTTCTCAATCTCTTCTCTGATTTGCTCTTCAGGGTTAGTAAAAGATGGTTCCGGCACCTGTCGTCTCCCGACCACTTTTGATGAGGTACCTGCTAGCCACGACAACAACACTAAACAAATCAACTTCATCATGCTGATATATCTTGAAGAAATACTCACCAAACAAACAATGATACCGACTTTATAATCTAGGATCAACGCTCCATTTGGAAGCGTCGCGAAAACATAGCCAATGCTCAATTTATACTCGAAATTGGATTGTAATCTAAAATGATGCATACCAAACTCATAATAGTATATTTATACAATCGCCGTGGTAATGATAGCCATAAATTGTTAACGATTAAGACATTCGCTTGTACTCAAATTAACAAAAAATGTTTCAGAACCACTTCAGGAGAAAAAACAGAAAATATTTCAGATTCAGTGTTTATTCATGTATAAACATTTGCATACATCTCTATAACTTTGTTAGGTTAATAGATGATGCGTCCATATGCAGGGTATCCACCATAACCAGGATAAGCTACGGGAGCAATGGCGCCCGGATAAACACCAGGATAGAATTTCCTGTTGTTGCGGACATTGCGCGGAGCATCCTTCAAAGGCATACAGATAGTGGGTTCAGCTCCAGGTGGTCCATTGTCACCTGGATTGGGTCCTGGTCCACTGCTTGGTGGGACACCAGGTGGCAACTTGGGACGTTCAGGTGGAGGTGGCAATGTTGGTACACCTGGCGGTACCCTTGGTGGTGGAGTTGAACCATCAGGTGCTGGATTAGTATAACAATATCCCATGTAGCAGGTGGTATTTGGGTCAGGCTTGTGTTCTTCCTGTGTTGGTCCATTGGGATCTTCATAAGTTGGGTAGCAATGCGCCGGTAGGTTATTGACGAAAGGCGGTAAAGATCCTGAATTTTGCAGGCGGTTTGATGGCATCCTTACCACCCTCTGACCGGAAGTGGACACGATGGTGACGAGGATCGCCAGGGTTAGATGTAGAACTCTCATGGTTGTTGCTTGCTTGAGCTCGTCGATGCTGCTAACCTACATCGCATGCTTTTTATATGATTTCATAAATTAATTAAATTTTTCACGCGTTATAATTTATATTATGGCGTATTCTTTTGTCGCTTTAGATGTGATATCATGACATAACAATCGGATATATTTTACGCATCGTATTAATTCATCCAATTAAAAAATAATTAATTAATTAATATATATTAAATGATATTGTGAATTTAGTTCATGTAATGGCCGCTGTATTGATTTTTGACAGCTGCTAACCTCAAATGTGACACGATGTGCATAATTTCTTTTGCTGATGTATATCGCTGGCCAGGTAATCGTTGTTTTATTTTACCTATTTGTTAAATAAACATGTGTATTAACTGCGTCATGAATAACTGCACAGCACACGGTTTATGATACGGCTCATAAATTATTGCCCATAATGTGCACGCCCACTGCCATTGTTTATTGCATTTGCCTTTAAAATAAAATATAATAACTTGGAAGTTAATCGAGTGTAAAATTAATTATTCTTATGCACTATCGTGTATAATCTCTTAAGTATAGGGCATTATTACTTATTATCGAGCTGATATGCTGTCGTATTGTAATGGATGTCATACCGCATTCTCTTATAGTGAGGTTATGATAGTTATACATAAAGTGGTGTATTGATTAGTTCTGTAGTTATAAACTTGAATTGTAGATGTCGCTGTTTATTATTATTATGTGTGTATAGTTGGATTTACGAGTAAAGCGTAGATTTTTGCGTTTTGCGTGGATGTGGATGATAAGCAGGAAAATAAATTTAAATAACGTGAATGCGAAAAATATATATGCGTCGCATGCAAATCACTTTTACCGCGTGCACTATTTCGATTATAAATTCCTTTATTCGGTTATGGAAATTATTGAAGCGTTGTCAATCAGTGCCGCTTGTAATGGTAATTTTATGCGCGCCGTAACCTCGTTTTTATTACTCGGATGCTTTTTGCTTTTCATGCTATAAAAAGCGGATTAAAACTGCGCTTCATATCGAGCATACAATAAAAACAATTTTATCCATTTAAAATACATTACAATATATAGCTACGTATACATAACCTCTTTTATGTTAAAATAAATATATCTCACGAATGGCTGAACAGATTTTAATCATTTTTGTTTTATTTTGATTATATTATTCTTACTTAACAGAATAAACAATAAAATACCCAAAATTTTATGTAAAAAGAACAAAAAATGAGAAAATAGTGTCTGAATAAGGTTATGTTATATGAATATACAGACATATTGACATATTCGACAGTATTGTATAAGTTTATTGATGTGGGTTGAGGTATTATGTTAATATAAATGATGCTGAACAATATTGAACTTGAAACGGAATGTAAACCTAAATATAGATTGTCGAGTCATACATCGGTGCAGTTTAAATTTAACTGGACGTCGAGTGCTGAGAGTATGTGTACACGTGTACCTGTAACTTGTTACTACTTGACTCGAATCTTTACCTACATATATAATACGAATATTCAAGTGAGTTAAACTGAAATATGTTTGTGGATGTGTACGGATGTTTAGGTGTGTGCTGGTTGACTAAATATTTGAATGAATATCATTATAGTAAGAGTATAGGCTGGTTAGAGAGTTCAAAGACTTTTTTGGGTTTTTAAGAGTTTAATTTTGGGATTTTAGACGAAAGGTCAATGTTAAGGTTAAATTTTGATGTGATATATTATGTAGTATTTTATTTTTTAATTTATACAATGGATAGGAGATGATATAAATTATTTTTAGATTTTTTTTGTTGGTGGAAAGTTGTTTTTTGTGAGTGGAACTTGATTGTAATGCAGTGGAGATATTCAAGTTGAAATATTTTAGTTTTTTGTTGATAACTTTTAAACTAATTGAGATATTTTTATGATTCTTTTTTTATTTTGTTTAATATTAGTGTTTTTATTATGAATAATAATAGTTTTGTTGATAATAATTTGTTGTTGATAGATATAAACAATTTGGTTCTACTTTTATTTAATTTTTAAAAGTCAAAGTTTAATGACGTGTAACTTTTTTAATATTTATTTTATTTATATCATATTAATGTTATCTGATGCAGAATTTAGTAGAGAATCAATGACTAAAAGAATTATTCTTTTAGCTTATATCCTTTTTGAGTAATAAAATAAAATATATGCAGCACTCTTTTTTATGTCAACATTTTTTTGTTATTTGCTTAGTTTTTAATTAATTATTCATAAATTAATTAACTTACACAAATGTTCTTTATATTAGTTTATTAAGTATTAAGTAATAAATCTAAATCCTTCAAAATTTTAATAATACACGCTTTTGTTCAAAAGTTACAACGAAATTTACATTTATTTAAAAATTTCCACCAAACCAAAATTAAATTGTTAATAACTTTTGTGCACAATTACCTACATAACAAATCACTATCAATATATACACATAATTTATCACTTGTTCTACTACTGAAAGAATTTTTGTTTTATCGCGAACGGTTCTCTGATAACATTTAAAAAACCACAACTATGTATTAATTATTCATGTGTCAGGTAAACGCACCGCGTCACAGACACTTTTACTAACTAGTTTGTACCGTCTGACACGTTTGAACCGCCTGTAGCGATTGAACTCTGACGAAATGATTTGAATTATAGAAACGTATAGATTTTCTACATTCTTCAGTTGTTTAGAGTGCCTCATTCTGTTTTATTCGCTTTTATTGTACACTTAACACCAAAAGTGTTTGCTCATAGTCATTTCTTTTTAAATTAGTTTAAAGTGTGTCAGTTGTAATCAGTAGAAGTAAAAAGGTTAGTATCACAATAGAATATAAGTGAAAATATGTTTAAAACACGAAAATTTGTGAAAATTGGTTTAAATCATTATAAATGCTGCGCATGCGTCAGTTTAAAATAAACCAATTACAAATCAACAAGTAGGCGGAGCATAATTTAATAATTAAACTATAAAACTCATAAAAAAGCTTAAATAAACAATTTATAGCGGAAATAAACATTTAATAACTAATAAACATTGCTTTAATTGCACTAAAACACATTAAAATTATTATAACTCAATTAAACAAAAAGTTTTTACTGTGCATGCATTTTTCCTTAATTCAAAACTAACCAATGAGAGCATACTAAAGTGGGCGGAGCATAAATACGATTTTTTTTTAAATTTAAACACAAAACCAAATAACAACATATAAATTAATTACCACAGCAACAAAATGAACTTAAAACTGTAAATAAATCAATATTTGATTACCGTTAGACTATTATTATGATTATTACCTATTACCTATTACCTGGTATTACCTTTGTGTGTCGCAAGTGGCTTTAACATCAATATCACTCATGCAGCGCGTTCACTTTCAACTTTTGCGTTTTGTGTTTTACGATTTACACGGTTTGCGCTCAGTCTCGGTACTCACACGCTCCGCACCACTCCAATTGCGATAATTGCGACATTTTGCAGTTCTTGCAAATTCACGTTTCATCATCAAACACAGAAGTATACACACGCAGTGCATTATTAATCAGTATAATATAAACAGTGCAGAACTAAACTTCACTTCACTTCACTTCACAATAAATCAAGTTTTCATTGATTGATTTATTGATTGATTCGTAAATATTGTTTCAGACGGGGAATAAAATATAAACATGCCAAATACAGATAATAATAAACCTGTGGAGCCAAAATGTGCGTTTCAAGTACAAGCATTAATTGATAACGGACGGATTACTCGTGAGGAAATAATTGTGTTGGAAGATAAACTTCAAGATGTGAATGTGCCACCGTTAACTGACGAACAAATCGCTTTGTTTTTGTTATCTTGCGACAGAGATTTGGATTTTACTATCAGAACGATAAAAGAGTTTTTCAAGGCTAGATTATCAGGACCTGAATTGTTTGATGAGAGATGTCTGGAGCGAGAAGATTTGCAATATCAATTGAATGTCATGTAAGTAAATAAAATTTAATTTTAAGACTAAAAAATTAATTATTCATGAATGTATTTTTTAGACGATATTCTATATTTCCTAAGAGGACGCCTGATGACTGTGCGATTTTATTCCATCGTCTGCAAGACTTTTCCTCATCTCATTACCACATGGAACACTCGATGAAGTTGTTATTCATGACATTAGACTCAGCAGTGTATGATTATCCACCGAAAGGCTTGGTGATTTTATTTGACATGCAAGGAGTATGTATAATAATATCTTATTAAATTAATTATTGGTTCATATATAATTTTTGTTTATTGTAGGTTGGTTTGATGCATTTAACCAGGATAAAAATGAGTGCAATCAAGAAATTTGCTTATTATCTCCAGGATGGGCTACCGGTCAAATTGAAGCAGATTCATGTGGTTAATACACAATATTTCATCGATAAAGTTATGATGATTTTAAAACCTTTCATCAGGAAAGAATTATACAATCAAGTAAGTCTAAAAATGTTATTTTTATTTTTTTTACTTGTTTTACCCGCGATTTCGTCCTGGTAGTGTTTAATAAAAATGTAATATGTTTTTACTCTCTTGTTCTTGTCATAATATGTGTCAATTCTATCAATAAGATACGCAATTTTATTTTAAAGGAATTAATTATATAAAGAATTGCTAATAATGCACTGCCTTTAGGGTTTTCCCGGCAATTATTCAAATTTTTCTCGCTGTAAAAACCATCCTTGGACTTAAACAAACATTTAAAAAAAGAATTGGCCAAATTGGTTTAGGCGTTATTGAGTTATGCGCTTACCAACAGATTTTGCGATTCATTTTTATATTATTGATGGGTTTTACAATCAATATTTTTGTTTAAGATACATTTTCATCCACCGACTGATGACATGTCCAAGTTTCACAAAGAAGTTATTCCCAAGTCTTGTCTACCTTCAGACTTTCAAGGAGATTTGCCATCGGTCGATGAGCTGCACGAGATGAACACAAAGAAGTTGGAGGAGATGCGACCTTATTTCGATGCTGAGCAAAAACAGCGACATGATTTTTATGCGTGCAGAAAGAAAACCATCATATGAAGATTGATTCAAAACGTACGTTTTTATATATTTTATTTTATATTTTATACTTGTATTGATTTCAATATCAAACAAATTTAAAGAATATTTTATATTTTGTCGTAACTTTTAAGAACTAAATCATGACATGACTTTCCTGTACATTTTTTATACTCTGACAATAAATGTTGATGAATTTTATGTTCTTTTGATGTGAGAAACGGCGCTTTGTTGTTTAATTCGTATGGATCTTGGACTAAGTTGTAAAATTCCATGAAATTCTGCAAATTTATTTAAAAAAAAGTTATCTTAATGTTTTTTTATATAAAATGCAATAACAACTTATTATATTATAATATACTCACCCTTTTGTCTCTAAATAAACAATATTTTGTTTTTGTTGCAATGTTGAACGTTAACGTGCATGTATACGTATTATTTCTTGAATCTTGGCATTTACACCAGTTTTCCAATGAGCATTCCTAAAATTAATGCTTAAATTAATATTATTTAAACAAATAAACTATTATTTATTATTATTTCTTACACTGAGATTCTCGGCGTCTTCCTCTGAGAAATTGCATGCTTTCTCAACGGAATGCGCGTTACCTTCGCCGAAATATTCAATGAAAACAAGATTTCGCTCGTTTTCCTTGTTTTTATTATCTTGCGAGTTGAATAAGTGTGCAAATGATATTCCATCCATGTCTTCGGGCACTGTGGCGTTCGCTAAGGTCAAAATGGTTGGTGCCAAGTCAACCAAACTTACTGGATGATTAAAAAGTTCCTTTTTAGGTAGTTTTGGACCTTTCATTAGAAAAGGAATGTGAATATCTGTTTGGTAAGGCTGTCTTTTATCCCATGGTAAACCAAATTGTCCTTAAATATTCATAAAATTATTTTAAACACCAAAAAACGCTAAAAATAAAGAAAATAATTTTACCTATATGAAAACCATTGTCAGATGTAAATATCAAGTAAGTTTCATCGAGAATATTCAAGTTTTTCAACTTATTAACAACATTTTCAACTAACTCATCCACACTTAGTAATGTTTGCCACCTTTTACGTTGTATATCATCTAAAATCGTAATATCTTCAGGTAGATATTTGGGTGGAAGCTGTGTTATCCAATGTTTCTAAAATTTGAATTAATTTTAATAATCTAAAGAGTCAAAAATCAGTGTTTTACTTACTTTTGTAGCTGAAGCATTAAAATTGTGCATTTTCTTGGTTTTAACTGTTGGAAACTTATCTGAATGTCTATTTGCTGGGGTAAATGGTGCGTGAGCAGCTGGAGGGGCTAATATCATGAAGAATTCTTTATCCAGAGGTTTGTGTGATAAGAAATCAAGCGCATAAGTACCCTGGAACATAATAACAGTTAATAATATACTAATAATTTGTTTTGGAATGTTTTACTATTAAATCAGTTAAATATTCTTGATGAAAATCAACTTTTGTGCCGTTTATCGATAATGTAAAGTTATGATACTTTGAGTTGCCTTCCAATCCATACCACCAGTCATAACCAGGTGGAATATGTGATAAACCATTTGCATTTTTATTTCCATACTAAAAGTATTAAAAATTTAATAATTTTTTGTTACATTTTATAGTTTAAATGAACTACTTACTTGATTTAAATATTTGCCTGCATAAAAGTTGACATAACCACTAGATTTTAGATAAGATGCAATTGTGCGGGTTTCATGTGTATTCTGCCATTCATTACTCGAACAATTACCGTTAATTGAGTTGTTATACACGTGTATATTGTGTAGATATTTGCCGGTTAACAATGAACTTCTGCTTGGACAACAAATTGGCGAATGCGCGTACTAAACGTAAATAAACGTAAAAGAAAGTAAGATATTATATTTATTTATATTATTTGTGTACTTACGGCTTCAGTAAATGTTATTCCATCATTAGCTATGTTTTTAATCGTTGATTGCATTGGTATCATGCTATCTAAGAGTAAATCTTGATCATCTGTGAGAAAAAGAATGAAATTTGGTCTTTTGCACTCATTTTCAATAATAACTAAAGTAAACACTATCAAAACCTTCACAAAGCAAGTATTTGAGTACATTTTAAACTGGAGACATATGGAATGAAGTTATATTAACTCTTAATGAGATATAAGTAGATATTGTTTAAACAGTTCAAAGTTCAAGTTGCGCATTTTTAAACTTTGGTGTATAATAAGTTGCCTATAATAAACAAGCGTAAAACATTTTGACTTACGCTTCGCGTATCTTCGTGCTTTTTCGTTTCTAACCTTATAGTAATTTGGCTTGTGCTTCCACTTCTTCTACAATTACTTGTACGCCAAGCCATCATCAAACGCGTCAAGTGTAAGCAAGCAGCGGCAAAACAAATACCCATAATCTTATAAACTGCATAATCAGCGGTTTGCCACACGTAGATTTTGTTACAGCGTCTAAATTAATACTGCATTACACCGTAAGTAGCTAGTTAGATAAGCTTACATCAAATTCATTTATTTTATTTATCAAAAACAAACTTGTTATAACCTAGAATCACAAAAGCGCGAATTTGTAAAATCCTCAAATTTCGCACAATCAACAGAAATAATGCAATATTTAGTATTCTGGGAGTAATTCAATGTATGTTTGTGTGAAATTTTTGATCTTTTGGTACTAGACACCTGTTTTGTTCTTATTTTACAAAAATGTTCTTATTTGTATGTGTTTTGTGCTTGTATCTTGTATTAGAAGCTTAGAATCATTTAGAATTACACGTTTTACTGAAATTCTCCTCCATTCCTGCTGTATTTAATCATTTTTCTGTACTAAATTATTGTTTTGTTTATTATAGTTTGTGCGAGCATTGCATGAAGAATTTCTTGACATAATGGTACAGTTATTACATTCCTTATAAATCCGAATATCCAGTAAGTAATTTCGATTTTAATGTATTTATTTCTCTAGGCGGAACCACAACTTCCAAGGAAAATGACAGAATCAGAGTTTGTTGTGGAAAAAATACTTGACAAACGCCTCAATGACAAATGCGTCGTTGAATACCTATTAAAATGGGAAGGCTTTGAAGATAAAGACAATACCTGGGAGCCAGAGAAAAATCTCACCTGCCCTGGAATGATTCAGGCTTTTGAAGTGGAGTATGCGAAGAATGAAGAGGAGAAGACCCGGAAGAGGAAACATGCAGGCACGCCGACTGCGGAAGCCAAAGCCAGCAAGAAGGAGAAGAAGGTTCATGGTTTGACAAGGGCTACACGCCTGTGAAGATTATTGGTGCTACAGATAGTTCAGGTATAAATATTCATTAAAAATGTTGAATTTTTATTAATTTTTTTGTTTGTTTTTTAATTTCTAGGGCCGTTAATGTTCCTGATGAAATGGGCAGGTAGAGATGAAGCTGATCTCGTGCCAGCTTCCCAGGCGAACATCAAATGCCCGCAGATTGTTATCAAATTCTACGAGGAGCGACTGACGTGGCATTCGCCAAATGGCACCGACTAAACAAGCACACACGCGATTACCATTTAACAAGATATTAATATTAATTTTAATCAGACGTATCTATTCATGCGGACGTTGTGCGTTCCATAATAATTAAATATTGTTTCATTTTTGTATTGATATAAGAATATTGATTTAAATTTAACTGCTGGGCGTTGTGTTCTATGTTAATTGAACATATTTAGAGGTAGCAAGTCCTATTACGGACATTACATTGAAATAAATCCAACCTGTACGTTTCCAAGGAAAGTATATTAATTTTTGACATTTATATTGTGAAAATACGTTTTCAATAAAGCAGAGATCTCTTATGTGGGGGAATTCTTCCATAGAGGCTTTACTGATTATTCCTGTGCTTTGTATGTTTTTTATTTATATGACATCCCTCTGAAGGGCTTAGATCAGGCCTAAAAGTGGCATTAAACTTTGGCATAATTTGCAATTTTTCAAAATACACTGTGAAAAAACCTCAATATCTCGTGATCCGCTGTCCCAATCTCATTCAATTTTATGTTTCCTTATAGAAGAAGAGTTGCCCTTTCATTTGATATATAACATTACCCTCTGAGGGGCTCAGAACAGGGCTAAAAATGGCATTAAACTTTGGCATAATTTGCTATTTTTCAAAACACGCTGTGAAAAAACCTTAATATCTCGCGATTCGCTAACCCAATCTTATTCAGTTTTATGTTTTCTTATAGAAGAAGAGTTGCCCTTTTATGTTATATATAACTTAACTCTCTGAAGGGCTCAGGACAGGCCTAAAAATGGCATTAAACTTTGGCATAATTTGCAATTTGTCCAAAGACGCTGTGAAAAAACCTTAATATCTCGCGATTCACTAACCCAATCTTATTCAGTTTTATGTTTTTGTATAGAAGAAGAGTTGCCCTTTCATTTGATATATAAAATAACCCTCTGAAGGGCTCAGAGCAGGGCTACAAATGGCATTAAACTTTGGCATAATTTGCAATTTTTCAAAACACACTGTGAAAAAAGCTTCATACCTCGGGATCCGCTGACCAAATTTTATTCAATTTTATGTTTTCTTATAGAAGAAGAGTTGCTCTTTTATTTGATATATAACATAACCCTCTGAAGGGCTCAGAACAGGGCAAAAAGTGGCATTAAACTTTGGCATAATTTGCAATTTTTCAAAACACGCTGTGTATAAACCTCAATATCTCGTGATCCGCTGCCCCAATCTTATTCAATTTTAAGTTTTCTTATAGAAGAAGAGTTGCCCTTTCATTTGATATATAACATAACCCTCTAAAGGGCTCGGAACAGGGCTAAAAATGGCATTAAACTTTGGCATAATTTGCAATTTTTTAAAACACGCTGTAAAAAAACCTTAATATCTCGCGATCTGCTAACCCAAGCTTACTCAATTTTATGTTTTCTCATAGAAGAAGAGTTGAACTTTTATTTGATATATCACTTTGCCCTATCAATAGTTTAGAATGGCCCTAAAATTGTTATTAAAAATACTCTATTTTTTGATAAAAATGGTTGATGTTTCCAGGTATTTTTGAAGTTTTAATACCTATGGCGTCCCCTAGTGGTGAGGTTTATAACTAAAAGATTTTTCTATTTGAATACAGAAACTTTAAATAGTGGAATTTGTGTCTGCTAATAGAGGGCGCTAGTATACTAATTTTAATTGAATTTAATTTTTTTATGTTTATCTTTTATTGTTAGTATTTTTTTAATTGAGTATGTATGTACAAAATTATGCTTACATTTTAGGTAATTATGTCATCAAAATTTTTGCTTCTAATGTGATAAACTAGTTGAAATGTAAAGAAACAAATGTGTATACTTTAAACAACCAATAAACAAACAAATATTTCATTGATAACAAAGAGAGCATCTTATTGGATAGACCCCAAGAAGATATAAATATTACCACCTACCTACCCACCAATCTTACCTGCCGAAAATGTTTCACCTTCTCACACATTCTGCGATCCGAATATTGAATATGCTTGAAACCTCTTCCGAATCAAGTTGAGTCGCATTTTAATAATTTTCGGAGCGAAATAAATTGAAAAATTGATTTGTGTTATTAGGAGAGCAGAATGTGCAAGGAGGTTGAAATTTTTCAACGGATGTTCGCGTGATTTCAACATTATTTAAATGATTTTTTGTTGGGTTTCAACACTTTCTAACATTAAATTGTGGATTTTTAATAACATTTTTAGGGCTGCGCAGAAACTTTAAGAGTGTCGAGTCACGTATTAAACAAAAGCATAAATTCATTTCTATAAGAAAACGAAAAATAATAATAACAAAGCGCAAGATATAAGCAATCTTTTATGAAGTGTTTTAAAAATTTGCAAACCATACCAATGTTTAATAACATTTTTAGGGCAGATCTGGGCCCTTCAGAGAATAAAGTCATATATCATCTGAAAGGGTAATTCTTCTTCTATATAATAACACGAACTATAATAAAAATAGACTAGTATATCACAAGATATAAAAAGTTTTTTTTACATCGTGTAAAACTTCCAAATCCTACCAAAGTTTAGTACCAATTTTTGGTACGTTCTGAGTCATTAGTAGGGTTCATTCATCCCTTAAATAAAAGGGTAAGGGTTTCCTCTGTAAAATACAAAAAACTGCAATAAAGTAGGTCCAGTCTGTCGGGAGAAATTAAATAAAAACGGCAAGTACTGAGATTAAAAGATTTTATTTATATTTTAATGTATCAATACAATCACAAATATTTGTAATATTTAATCGCTTAAAATGTCTTCCATTGTCAACAAACGACATTCATACAAAGCACTAACATAACATCAATTTTTTGCTTTATTGTAATACTTTGATAGTCAACCGAAGTTCGGTATCACTGTAAACAAACGCAAAACTTTAAAACAAATTTTACGTTGTTCCTCTGTCAATAAGTACCTGCATACAGATTACAAACATGTTAATAATTACAATAATTACACAATTTCAAACTTTTTAAGAAAGCTGCCTGGCATTTTGTACAATTGCAATCATTATTGAAATTGGCAGTTTCACTAAATCTAACAAATAATGGCAGTCATCAATAATTGCATACGTTCAATACAAAGAAAATATGTACCTCAATTAAATTTCTACACAGTGTAAACATTATATTTGGCAATGATTTAAATGGCACGTATTGTAAAAGACAAGATTATTTCCGAGGAGAATAGAGAGCTGCTTTGTACCAAATGTGTTCCGGATCGTTTTAGATGAGGTTTCCTTGGGTGGATTGAATTCACATCATGTGATCTCCACCTTGAGGCCAATGTTGGGATTGAACTTGCATCCACCACAATTGCCTCCACATAGTCCTGTGATAGTAGTCTTTGAAAAACAAAACAAATTAATCAAAATTCTAGGACCAAAAACGCATTTATACTTACATTTGAAGTTTTGATCAGTTTTCTAGGACTCTGTCCGTATGGTATCCAACTTATATCCGAAGAAAATCTAAAGGATGTTCGAGACAAGTCAATTTTAAATTGTCGTTTGATGCAAGATCGTCCATAACTTCCAAAACAATCAGCTGCGGTGCCCAAAGGTATTTGATCCGAGCGGGATCGAGAATGGGTAAAATCATTAATGAACGCAATCAATTTAGTAGGAAATACAAAGTTTTACACTTACCAATAATTATCATAAGATGAATATCAAGTCTAAATTTTAAAAAATGTTGAAATCACGCGAACATCTGTTGAAATATTTCAGCCTCCTAACACATTCTGCTCTCCTAATGACAAAAATCAATTTCTCGATTTATTTCGCTCCGAAAATTACTAAAATGAGACTCAAACTTATTCGGAAGAGGTTTCAAGCAGATTCAATATTCGGATCGCAGAATGTGTGAGAAGGTGAAACATTTTCGGCAGGTAAGATTGGTGGGTAGGTAGGTGGTAATATTTATATCTTCTTGGGGTCTATCCAATAAGATGCTCTCTTTGTTATCAATGAAATATTTGTTTGTTTATTGGTTGTTTAAAAATTACACATTGTTTATTCAAATTTTAGCATTTCATACATTAGAAGTGATTAAATTGATGATATAAATATTTGAAGTGTAAACATTGAACACTCTAACAAAAAAATATTAACAATAACGGCCTAATAACAGAAATATTAAATTTAATTAAAAATGTACATACTAGCGCCCTCTGGTGGCGACGTATGCTATCACATCATCATTCTACTCAATACTTGCAGAGTTCCACATTAAAATAGCTAAAAGGTTGAAGCTTTAGTAAGTTGCAACTAGGTGGCGCTAGAGGTATTAAAACTACAAAAATTACATGAAAACATCAACAATTTTCATCAAAAAATTGAGTATTTGTAATAACAATTTAAGACCATTCTAAGCATTTGAGGGGGTTAAGTGATATATCAAATAAAAGGGCAACTCCTCTTCTATACGAAAACATAAAATTGAATAAGATTTGGTTAGCAGATGGCGAGATATTAAGGTTTTTTCACCGCGTGTTTTGAAAAATTGCAAATTATGCCAAAGTTTAATGCCACTTTTAGCCCTGTTCTAAGCCCTTCAGAGGGGTGTGTTATATATCAAGTGAAAGGGCAACTCTTCTTCTATAAGGAAACATAAAATTGATTAAGATTGGGGCAGCGGATCACGAGATATTGAGGTTTTTTCACAGCGTGTTTTGAAAAATTGCAAATTATGCCAAAGTTTAATGCCGTTTTTAGGCTTGTTCTAAGTCCTACAGAGGGTTAAGTCATATATCATGCGAATGGTCAATTCTCCTTCTACAAAAGGACATAAACAACAATAACATTGGCACAACGGATTGGGAGATATTAATGTTTTTGCACAGCGTGTTCGGAAAATTTTCAAACTATCCCAAAGTTTAATGCTATTTTTATCGCTGTTTTGAGCCCTTCAGAGGGTTAAGTCAAATATAATGCGAAATTTCGAATAAAGACTGCATTTAAAGGATTTTGCGAACCCTAATGTGTTTAATCGTATGTGAATGTAGTTCTATTATTCGTTGTTTATGAGTTTGAAAACAGCATACAAATTAATCCATGGAATAAAGATATACAGGATGATTTTAGCAAGGCAATCTAAAGATTTAAGAAATTTTAGTAAGTTAAACAGGAGTTTGAAGAAACTTGCGAGCTCTCTATCATGTTATAAATATCATTCAGCAGTCTCCAACATTTCAAACATTATTCATGCATTTTCTACCGTTTGTTATACAAGTACAATTACCACTACTTTGGTCCATAAAGAGTAATGTAAATATAGTAAAGTAAATTGGAATATATTTTCACACCATTAATGATTAATTATTCATTAAAACAGCAAAGCATACTTAAAAATATACCAAATGTTTAACACATACAAGTTAATACAGAACTTATAAATATTATAAAGCTTACAAAACCTTTCAATAAATGTGCAATAAAAATGTACAAGCATTTAATTAAATATATTAATAAACAGCAACTGTTGAATCAAACACATCTCTATAATCATAAGATGTATAACTCCATACACCAGTTGAGAAGATTGAGTTATTTCTTTTGGTTAAGTCCATTAGGAGTGTGTTGATGACGCATGATAATTAGTGCAGAGAAGTGCAAACTGCCACATATAATCTTGGTCATCAACTTGATGCAGCAGAATGTTAAATCTGGTTAGTATTTCAAGGTTCCCTTTACTCAAACATGAAAATGTTAGTTTGAAATATCAGCAGATTGTTATTTATGATATGGACCACTATTTCGATGTTACAAGATTCTGCAAATTAAAGTAAATCAAAATGTGTTTTATGGGCAATAAGTGCTGATTACAGTTGCAGTAATAACTTACCAGATTACTCAATCACAATTTCTAGTTTTCAATCTACGTGGTTTATTCTTCCGAAATGTGTGTAATCTATAAAAACGTCTTGCCTTGCTGTTCACAACCTTTGTGAGAATGAGTCTGTAAAACTGTAAAAACAGAATCATTAGAAACTTGAAAGTGAATTTGAAGTTGTTTACAACGGATTTGCACCTAAATTGAGGCAATCCAGATTCCACCACTTTTAATTTATAAGAGTAAACACTGTAATAATTACCAGAATTTCAATTCCGAAGTAATAAATTAGAAAATCAGATTTGGTAAAGAAATCAAAATAAAATGTTGTGTGTTTACATCTGTCATTCTTCCGCGCCAAACTGTCAAACTTTCATCTAGTGACTTATTTTTTAGGGTCTTGTCATTTTGTGCATTACCAATTATGTTACTAGAAAATTCCCGATTTTTCGAATGAAATGAAACTATTTAGGTTGGCAGCCACGCTGACCTAGTTATGCGGCGGCCATCGCACATTCCTCTACACAGACGAAATTCTAGGAACTGTTACTACGTTTTTACTACGGAATCCCCGAAATGTCTGGAAATGTACTAAAAATGAAAATATTGATATTTACCACGTTTTTGAGTGTTTTCGATGGTTTAAAACTGTAATCAATAGAAAATTAAAGAGCACGTCCATTCCCATAGAAAAATTTAAATTTTATTACGTTTCTGATACTGAAATTATAAAAATTAACTTTTAAAAATTCATAAAAAATAAACAAAGCTGTTTTTGATTAAAAACAATACTGCACAAAGATTTCCAACTCTTTAAGAAGCTATTTAACATTTTTTGAATAAATTGGAAACTTACAAGTTAGAGTAAAATTACTTTAACTTTGAAGTGTTTTTTAATTATCTTAAACAAAAGTTATAATTACTTGTTTAAGGTCAATGGAATCCTGATTAGACGAACAATTTTTTGTTTTTTAAAGCGATAATATTGAACAATGGGTTCATGAGTTATAGACCCGTAAAGTTAACCTAAATATGAAGAAATTTCCGATGTGCAAGTAAAATTGAATTAACTTAAAAAATTAATAAAAAAATAAATCGGAGGACTTTTAATAAATTAATTATACCATTAAATAAAACAGTTATTAAAGTATCAGTAGCCACAATTTTGAGTAGATTGACTACAGAATTAATTTGTACAAGGGTTGTAAATTTAACCCCTACTTACACCCTTAATTTAAGGGTTAAAATAAAAGTCATATACTTGACTAAATAAGAAATTTAATGTAATATTTATCAATGTTTAAAACAATTCAATATCTTCATTGATTTTGTAGTAAATAATAAAAGAAGACCAGAAAACATGAAAATGAAAACATTTAAAATTGTTTATTTCTTGCTTGCAATTATTGTGTAAACGATTACAGATAAATTAATTTTTTTTATTAAAGGCTAATTACTTAAATAAAATATAAACTGCAGTACACGATTGCCCCCAAAATTAAAGAACTTTCTTTTTAAGGAGTTGTAACTTTAACCTCTGTTTTCACCCTCTATTTCAAGGTTAAAATTTTATAGAAAATTTAATATACTATTTAATACCACTTGTGTCTTGGACACAAGAAATCGTCATCAGTATTCTGTTTATAAGAGGCACTTTGGTGATTCTATGACTGTTATGAAACCTTCTGCTTGTTATACTGAAGCATTAAAATCATATTATAGTTGGAAAAACTTATAAAAATAATTAAAAAAAATGGTTGTTTGTAAAGTAGGTTTACGATCGAGATGTTTACGTGATAACGTCTTATTGGTGATATAAGTTTTTTTTGTTGCAATTGTTGTAACACTTCACTTGCACTTCACATTTTGTTTCACTGTTAAATATTCAACGAAAACTTAACCGCACGAGAAAATCTCCATTCGTTTGTATGCCGCTAGAGTGAGAGAGACGGAAGATCGGTCCACTCACTCGAACACTATGCCTGCCTCCGCTCGTGTGGATTCCGCGTGTCAAGTTTCACGGAATGACTGGCAGCGCTCGAGATGAGACGGGAGATCGGTCCGTCTCTCTCTCTCTCGTTATACCTGCGATCGGAGGCCTCGTGACACAAGTTTCTGAACATGTCACCCGATTAAAACGATTTTAAAGACGTTATCACGTCAAAAACAATTAATTTATTAAATATTTACAAAGTATATAAACAATTTGACACAAAACAAAACATATACACCATTAAAACTTTCATAACACACAATTTCCATGTTCAACTTCAAACCTCTTCATGGTCTTAATTTTGGCTTCTCATCAACGTAAGGATTCATATCCCCTTCAACAGCACTATAACTATCCGCAATCACCTCATAGACATAGAAATCACCACCTCGCAGAGTCAACACAATCACATGAATCAACCTCGCCAAAGTAGTACACCTCAACATGTAAGCAACACCTTCATGTGGAGCAAACATCGGCTTCCCAAAAGTCATACAATCAAACATATAATATTCATTATCCTTCCTCTTAGCAAATGCCACCATCTTCTTGACTCCATTTTTATTCGCCACAATAATCCCAGCACGATAATAGTACTCATCAAAGAAGAACTGCAGAGATTTATACAAATTGAACCTCTTGGTACTAGTCAAAAACATGGTACCTTCAACGACAGCTTGATAACGCACCTTGAACTGGAATGGAAAGATCTCACATTCATCTATCAAATCTTCCATGGAAAATTCATGATCTTTATCTTCAATGTTTTCTATACACTTGACAAAATATTTGTATCCAGATATAAGCACAGCGTCAATCACCGAAGGATTCCATTCTTTCAGATCATAGATACCTGTCATCCCAATGACAGCTACCAAAGAGGCCAGGGTCTGTTTCCCACGAATATCAGACTTGAAACATTTATCATGCTGAGACATAGTTCCACAAATCATATACAGATCATTATTGTATTCTATATCCCAGGAATACCATTTATTATGAGCTCCTTTCATTGGAGATAGATTACCACCTAATCTTGACCATGGGTTATCATGCAGGTCCATCCAACTTTCATGTTCATGGAATGACTTACCACTAATCTCACCTTTAACCTGTTTTGCTCTAATCCAGTCTTGAATCATTGCACTTACAATAACAGATCTGGGAGCTCTTGTAACATTAATCACGTTGAATGTGAAGAATTTATACCGATTCATATTGTTGCTTTCTTTAAAAACTTGATAGCTTGTTTAAATGATTTGAATTTAATCCAACATGCATTCGATACATCTTCTGATGGTTTATCTTTTTGATTGAACGTTGCTTGATAGGGATGGTATAGATGTACCACATGATTGTCTGTATCAATGTAGATAACGTAGGTACCTTCACCTGTTTGTAACATGATGAACTTGCGTTTACGCATGACATATTTCAGACTCTCTTTGAAGTTTTTCCGGTATTTGTATGGTTCTATTTCTATGGTCTTTACAATGACATCAAAAAAGTATTTACCTACCAGGATATTTCTTATGGTACGTCTTCTAGATTGTTCTAGAGAATCCGCATGGTCATAGATATGTTTCCCTAAGTCAATAGTTTTATCCACGTTTTTCGTTGTCCAATTTTCCAAGGGTTTGTGAATTACCATCAATGCTGCAGCTAGGCTAGCAAAGTGATCTTCCATCAAATCAACTTGATCACTTGCTGGACGTTCCAAAACCTTAGTTCCTTCTATAACTTCAACGTTGGTTACTTTTACATAACCATGTTTATTTCTTGCAACTAGTTCCTCTTCTTCTTCTGCTTCTTCTTCATGATCTTCTGTTTTATGTCCTTCATCTTCATCCATATCATCTCCTGGATACTTCATTCTTATAACTGACTTACGCCTTCTTGAAACCCTGCATACATACAAAGCAAATCTTGAATAATTACCCTTTTCAGGTACGTCCCGCTTAGTTTTATTGAAGATAATCCTCAGACATAGATCCTCCATGTCTCTGAATCTTGCAACTGATGAGAAACCCTTCACATCATCCAATCCCAGTTCATTACATGAGAATGGATTATACAGATAGTAGATACCACGTCTTTGACAGACTGCACAAGTGTAAACTTCTGTTACAATAAACACCCAGTCTGTTTCACACATGATTACTTTCTGTAAAGCTAGTTTCATTATGCGGAGATTACATGGTGCGTCAAAGATATATCTAATTTGACACTTGAAGTCTTCGTGACCAAGGACAATATGTGGTAGCTCTAGTTTAACCAGTTGCACAAAACCATATTTTGATTTTTTGTATAAAACGTCTCCTGAGGTCATGACAAAGTCTAAGACATCTGAGGACCAAGTCCGGAGACAGTATTTTTCTCCAACCACAGCCGCCATTATACAAATATAAGGTGCTATGTATTCTACTTCCACACCACAATCACCAACATGTTTTGTGCCTCGAATCAGTTGGCTACCATCTGGTAATTTGATATAGTTACTAGGACGTTTGAATTCTTCACTTAAGGTTCTCATCAGGGTCATGGTATCTTCAGGTTGGACTTGTTCAAGTGTAGGTTTTTGATCTAGAAGAGTAAACTTGGGTTTTGCAAGCATTAACATCCTAAACTGCATTCCACAGGTGTCATTCTCAACAACCCGTTTACTCAGGTTCTGGATAAGTCTCTTAACCAATTCATCCATTGATCTGAATCGGATTAAACAAGCTCTTCCTTTTTTGGCTAAAGGTTGGACATTTCCCCATTTATCACAGTTATAAGGATCAAAGAGATAGAATAAACTCTTTTTGAAGAATACAGCGCATGCGTAATGTGGTACCATCACAAATCCGACATCTTGTTGATTGAAGACATGTCTATCAATAAACTCTTCAAGGATCTTTTGTCCAGAAAAGGTATCAAACAAATCATCTCCTATGTAGGTGTTAAAGATGATATGAATAGTCGCCATGATGTTATTCTTAACCAATTCAAATTTAAAGTCGTCTATATGAACAAAACTTTCGGCGTATTGGTCATATAACATGCGACCTGATTGAAGAACAAAACCTATTGTGGCATCATCCCATCGATTAATGGGTTTCTCTATATCATAGGCAGCTGCCATGATGCACATGTATGGAATTATAAGGTTAGGATCATCTTCTTCATAAATGAAATCAAAGCAATTGGCTTTTCCTGTTAAAATCTGCATTTCATCATTGATTTTATCATAGTAACGTAGATTCTGTAACTCTTTTTCTTGTTGGTGTAGGTCAATGATAATATCACGATCTTCTTTGGTCCTCATTGGTAATTCCATTGCAGGAAGTAGTTTGTAACAATAGGTTAGGTCGGTATTAATCTAAATTTTAAAAAAGAAGAATAAAATATAGGTTAGGTTATAGATTAATAAAGATGCTTACATAATCAGCTCGGAAACAAGGATCTAACTCCCCGGAAGTAACCTGGGACATAACCCCATATTGCTGGGATTGTTCCTCTTGAACGTACTGTTCAATATCTTCACCTAGACCATACATTGGGACAGGTCCATAGTCTCCACCTTCTTGACCTTCAGGTTCTTCTTCTAATTCCTTTCTTCTTGAGTCAAACCAAAGGAAGCAAGATCATCTATGTTAATTTCATCATCATAGGGATTAGGCCTCTTGGGGACAATCTGAGTGTCACTCAAACTAGGAGAATCTAAGTCCACAATTACATCATCTTCAGGTTCTCTTGTTTTGGGTTTAGGTGTCTTCATCAATTTAGGACATTCTACTACAGGTAACATATAAGTACCAATACTCCTAAATTACTTTGGACATCGTAAATTGAATCTGCTAGTGTTATTCCAGCTAGGAGTTTTTTCAGAGCATGTTCTTTGAAATCTGCTGTTGCGAAAGGTTTATCAGTTGCACGTTTCTTACTCTTCATACATTTATGCCTGTGAAAGGTTTCCATAGGCATTTCTTGTAGAGTTAAATGTTTTGGGAAAAATTTGGTCAAAACAGGGTCTCTGTGAATCCTAATCAACTTAACTGCGTGAAGATGGAATATAGTCTCACGACTGTCATAATTCTGAACAACAGTCTCCAGAAGTACATCCAGGTCTTTATTCATTGAACAAACAGCAGCTCCCTGACGACATTTCAAACCCTCTTTGTTTCTGGTATGAGGATCAAAGCAAAAGAACATATCTCTCTGTTGCCAGATCGCCATATAAGCCTTACCAATCTGAGCAACACAATTGTTATTACTCTCAAAGAATAACTTCAAGTCTTCAGAAAATATACAATTTGATTTCTTATACATCAAATCAGCGTATCTATTTGGATAGATATGTATCTCCAGAACATATGGGCCTACTGTAAACACCGCAGGAAGATGCTCAACACCCACATCAGTACAACTCTCAGATTCTACAATCACAGAATGTAATTGGTTACCAATGATTAAAATCTTATCCAGTGTCTTCTTATGCCAGGAATGTGGAACAGATATTCTTGAATAAGCCAATGCTACTATAGACATACTCAGAGATTGTTTATTCCTGTTAAACAGGAAGCATAGGTCACCAAGATCAAAACTTCCCTGGACAATCGCCTGACGATCATTCAAAGCTATGTAAGTGTTTCTTTCTTTGGTGTATTCATCTTCTTCACGTTCATCTTTACCCATTATCTTCAGGACTTTTATCTGACAAATGTTGAATGGAGAATTACCAATTGATGATCTATCTAGGAGGATTGATCTGATGGCTTTTAACTTTGATACTATAGTCATAACTGCAGATCCTACTTTGTCTTGATATAGATTACTTTTTCTTGGGTTAGCGTCAAAGAAAAGATAACAACCTTTTTTGATCTTCCAGATTAGGATATTCAAGTTTTCAGTTCTTAATATTCCTGTGTTGTAGTTACAGAAAAACACTTTTAAACCTGTTGATATATTGAATATCTTCTTGTCTGTTGATCTTGTTAATCCTTTCACCTCAGGATCTGATATTTCAAATTTTATCTTCTTATCACAGATAAAAAAGAAATTATTAACTTCATGCACAGCTAATTCTTTTCTTCCTTTATGCATGTGTATCTCTGCAATTGATGACATGAAATGACAATTTCCAAGTTCTACAATTTCATCAAGAGATCTTGATGTCCAGTCTTTATACTTCTTAATATGTGCATAACAGAATGCTGCAATAGGCATACATATCCCTTGATTACCCCTGGCTACTTTAGGAAAACAAAGATCTCCTTGATTGATTGATCCTATGATGGTACAATGAGGAAAATCTGTTAGAATGGATTGTTTGAGTTTGGTAAATGAATGATTTTCTAAACATCCTTTGCGGTATTTTTTCTTAGGTTTTACACATTGGGCATCTCGTAGGGTTTGAACCAATCTGGAGGTTAAAGGTATTTCACACCAAGATACATCATCAAAAGCGGATTTGTCAGCCATTGATGTTGCTGATGAAGCAATAGACATTTGATCAGCAAAAGGTCCTAGGATAAGGTTATCGGAGACATGGGTGGATACATCATACATTTCGGGTTTCCAAATTGGTAACTCTATTTCAGGACCTCCTTCACCATACATTTCATAGTCGTAGAATTCTAGAGATTGCATGAATTGTTGTTCTAGGTCTATGTCGCCTTGGTCATGGATGGATTCTTGGATGGAGGGTAAGGGTTGACCTGAATTGGATAATAATATATCAAGGAAACATAATCATTTGAAATATGGTCTCACGTTTATGCTTTCTGCGTTTGATGACTCGACGTTTCTTTGGTTTTTTCTTTTTTTTAACAATCTCCTCCTCTTCTGCGGATGACCTTGACCCCATATCGGAATCATCAACATTTAAGAAGATCCCACTTTTGATTTCTTTAGCTTTTAATTGGGATTTGGTTGGAGGGACCATGGTACTTGATGTAAACACTGAAGGTCTTTCTGGGAGCACTTTAGCTTTACTAATATGTGGAGATTCTTCCTCCAACTACAAAAAATCATTAATAACATAAACCAAAATAGAATATACTCAATACCTTTGATATTGTATCCATGATAATGGGACTTGGTAACCTCAACACGTCATGATCACAGAATTCAATTTGATCAAAAAACTCCTTCCTGTTCTTTTTCTTCAACTCTTTATATTCAGCAAGTTTTGGCATTGGAGCAACATATTTAGCTCCCACTTCACCTGGAGGATAAGGTTGCAATCCTAACCTGGTACTAACAGATGGTTCAATAATAGTAGGATCCTTTTCAGCTTTAACTCTTGGAGGTCTTGCAGGTAAAGGGTGTTGAACTTCATAATTATGTATCAAAACAGGATCTGTGGGTTCATCTGGAGGTAATTCCGAGGTTAAATCAGTCGTTGAATAATTCTGAATAAAACGCTGAATGATTCCAGGATTTTCATCAAATGTATCCCTGTTAAAAACATAAATAAAATTAATAAAAATTTATTTAATAAAATATTATATATTCTTACGTTGGATCTATATTCTTTCGAGCATCCATTTTATTTTTACTCTTTTAATTTAAACAAATACCAGAAAATGTAAATTTGAAAAATAAAAAACAAAACACAGAATATTTTGAAATTTCACTGTCATAATAAAAACAAGATCTACCAAAAGATCCAAGATGCCCAAAACAAAACAAAACACTTTAAATTATATATTGTTACTAATAACACTGTCAAAATTTTTTGCAAAATTTACGAGTTATCAAAATTTTGTAGTAAAATTTATAAAATTTAAAAATGGCACGTAGACGCGGAAGAAGACAACAAGCACCATCACCAATTACATACCCACCTGTCACCACCAAGAAATGGATACCACCTGATCAAAGACAGAAGCAATGCAGACCTAAACCATCACCATATCCTCCACAACTCACTCAGAAACTCACAATTTCCTCTTTATTAAAAGTATGGCATGATTACAAAGTTATCAATGATTGTGCTGTGCTTCTCGGAGATTTAAGCATGTATCATCCAAGATTCACTTATGTTACAAATGGTTTACAAGGTCATGCTATCTGTATAGTCTGCGCATTGTATTCAAAACTATGCCCGAGCTTTCATTGGTGTTCAAGGACCCTGGATGAGATTGTCATCATTGGAGATAGATATTTCCAAAGGAGTTTACGATTCCAGAAAAATCCCAATATGACAATTTGTCAGTTGAACAAAGATATCTTCATCCACAGTCATAAGATCACAATCTGTTTACGTGGGGAACGTTTTCAGGGATTGATCTTTAAAGACCTAGATACTAACTCTAAAGATTATTTAGCGAATGTGATTAAAGAATTTTTTGGATGTTATGATTGTGGTATCTTATGTGCAGAAAGCAACCCAAAGAGATACTTTACAATCTGGAAGTTTAGAAATGGGTTCTTCCTCTTTGACCCTGTGGATCATGATGAAATGTGTTGGCCTTTGAAGAAACCTTTTGTGGGCAAAGGTCATACCTTTACAGTGAGATTCCCCACAACAGATAGATTGGTCCAGGTGTTGCAGAGACAGATGATACCAGCAAATATATCATTTGAGTTGATCCCTGTGGAGATTGAGAGGATCGCTTATATTAATACAAGGTATCCGGCGTGTTTAGAGGATACATGCGAGGAGGACCCGAATATGAAGGATAAACTTCAAAAGGGTTCGTTTCGCTAATTCAGAAAATGTATTATTTATTAAATAAATTATTTTAGAAGCGGACGAGAGGACGTGTTTACAAAATACAGCAAAGATCGTGGACAAGCCTCCAGCTGAAGAAAAAGTTGTTGTAGATGATGATGACGATGCGGAACCTGATGTAGACCAAGGAGAAGGAGATGATTACCAACAAGGAAAGTCTAAAGTTAAGAAGAAAGCAATTGTGGAGAAACCTAGAGTTGAATCTGTTACTTATTTCAACTGTAAGAATTTTCTAACCTTAAAAATTATTTTTTTTATAAATTTAATGTTTTTAGATATAATTCCTGAAAGAATTGGTATCATGCTAGCAGAGACCCATCAAGATGATCCAGAATTTGAAAGGTGTTATTCTCTAAAAGATTTCTGTATGGCCCTTGGAGCTATAGTCCATTTGAGAGAAAATAAAGCTAAATATTGGACGACACGTATAGTGACCAACTGCCTTCGACTTGGTCTACGAATCTGTATCCAGTCCTTAATTCTAATAAAACCTGACCATATCCTAAAGGTTCAAAACATAATCAAAAAAATTGAATTAAATGAAAAGAACTTCACTCCTGAAATACAACAATATGGTGCAATAGGAAAACTGCAATCACAAGATTCTGCAATTCTTGACCTCTTACCAGCAATTCGTGAAGTCCTCTCAGAACATGATGCTATTATTATTCAGGGACCTTTAGTTGTCGCCATTTGGAAAGAAGAAGACTTGTTTTATCTCTTTGATGCACATGAAAGAGACCCCAATGGTTTTGCTATAGTCAAAGAAGTACAGATTGGCAGTGTAATGGAAGCTGTTGATTACATCAGTGGTGTTGCATGCCTCACCTGGTTTACAGACCTCAGGGATTTAGTTGATATGTACATGGCTAATGTCGACAGGGATAAAAGACATGATACTTTTATAATCTCCACAGTTGAGGTTAATGATTATATAGAATTACCTTCTGATTGGTGTAACTTCAAAGCTATATGTCCGAATAGATGGATTCTTCAGGGATCTTTTGCTCAGGGTGATATTAAGTTCTCTAAAGATACCAGGAATACTCAGTGTACTGCAAATTGTGCTATGGCGTTGACTTATTGTCATTTGGTGAAGATTGATGATTGGACAACTGAGACCATAGATGAGGTTCTGGATCAAGGTGATATTTATTACAAGAAGTGTATTGACCATCATGAGAAGAAAGGGACTTTGATATCTCCCATGTTGCTTGTTTCTGAATTGTTACCAGAGTTTGTTTTGAAAGATATGTTGGTTACTTTTGACGTGTCTGAATGTATGGTTAATGGGGTTATAACCATACCTGAAGAATATAGGAATACATGGAATCTACAGAAAGGGTTCAAGGAGTTTTTTAAAGATAATGATTATGGTATACTGACCTGTAGAGGGATATCAGTTGCTGTTTTCAAAGCACATGGTCAATACTTTTACTTTGATTCTCATGACAGGAATAATTTCGGGTTTGTGGTTGCTCATGGTAAAGCCTGTGTTCAGAAGTTCCTGGATTCTGATACCATGGCTGAGGTGATCATGGGTAACCTAGGACCTGATGTAACCCTAGCTATTTATAACATTTCAAAACTTGATGTGAAGATATTTAATCCAATACCACCTGGGGAGATGCCAGATGAAGATGATTCTAGTTTTGCTTCCGTTGAAGAAGAAGAAGAGGAAGATGATGATGAAGAGAATAAACTAAGTCATTTGGTTGTAGAACGTCCTTTGTTTAACTATACAAAAATAACTAAGAAAAGAGCCATTTTGAGGAGTTCTACTCATCAGAAAAAGATTGAAATGTTTGATGTGTATGCTGGGAAGCAAACAATGGGTAACCTCATGGCTGCACCTGGAATGGCAAGGATCTTCATCCCTAATGAATGGACTGTTGATATATTAGACGATGTCCTAAAAACAGGTCAAAGTGTTTATGAGAAATCCATTCAGAATTTCTATAAAAACCTTGGAAAAGATTCTGCTGAAGAAGAAGAAGTTGACTTTAAAGAAACTGATGATATTACCGTTGATAATGTAATCAAAGATTTCAAAATAGGTGTTAATAAGTTTATAGTAGAATTTGAAATGATAGCCGAAGGAGTTATTTCTGCAAATGGGACTGACCTTGCAAATGCCCTCAAAAGTTTCTTCTCTGAAGAGGTACGGGAAGAAGATGACCATAAAGAAATCATTGTACATACAGATTACTATGATGTGGTCCTATGGAAATCTGGGACCTTGTATTATCTTTTTGATCCTAACCCTAGAGATGAACAGGGTATGATTTACGGAAAGGAAGAATGGAGTGATATCCCTCTGGATCCTACCCTTACTGAAATGGAATATGATGATCATGATGACAACATATTTGATCTTGATGAGGATATTCAGGAAGAAGAAGAAAGTAAAAAGTTGGAGATTGAAATGAATTCAGAAAAGAAAATCAGACAATTATTAGAAAAAGAATGGAGGGAGTATGGGTTTGTTGAAGAAGAGCAATCTGTATCACCTGTTAGACATCCTCTGGAATACTGGGAAGCACATGCAAAGGAAAAAGGGCGGGCTTATATAATGTGGGCTACTAAACCCAAGTTCCTCATTAAGCACCTGATAGCAAATAACCCTCCTAAATATAGAGATGATTCACAGTTTGGGTTATTCAGAATGGTACTGAGGAACATCCCTGATGTTAAAGATGTCTATGACCCTGTGACCGGACCTAAACCTGATGAAATTGCAGGGGATTGGAATGAATGGAGGGAGATAACCTATGGTCAGTGGATCCTTCGTGGAGGGATGCATGAAAAGAATGTGATCTTCCCAGAATGTAACAGAGGGTTGCAAGCTCATGCAAACTGTTTAATAGCATTATCCTATGGTCATATATTTGCTATGTCCCAGTTTACTAAGAATACCATTGATCAAATTTTAAAGTATGGGGATCGTCTCTATACCTCTACCAGAAGAATCCGAAGAAGGGAATTAGAATCCCTAACTGATTTAGAATTGACTCCTGAAGAGATTGATGAAGTTCTTGCCAGGGAAACCTATACAATAGAAAATCTGGTTAAGACTTTCTGTGTAGGTGATGAGTCTGTTGCTGTAAAGATAAGTGAGACCATGATTGAAGGTGAGATCAACGCTGAAGATGTTGAAGATGAATTTGATGTCAGTAGAGGTCTTGAGCAGTTCTTTGCTGCAGGAGGTAATCGTTTGGGGATCTTACAGTCTAAGACCCATACTGTAGCTGTTTTCAGAATGGGTACATTTTATTATATGTTTGATCCGCATGAGTGTGGCCCACATGGTATCAAATGCCAGAATGGTGTTGCATGTATAACCCGGTTTCAGGAGGTCCAACCCATTTGTGACCTCTTTTTAGAAAACGTACCCAAATGTGGTAAAAACTTCTTCACCATACAGGAAATATCAATAGGAGCAGCGGATTGTACAAAGGTCTTGAAAGAAGAACTAAGGGCAACTGAAGATCCCTTGAAATTATCAGGGTTTGAACCTGTTGTACCTGGTAAGATGATTATCAGAGGTACCTTGAGTCAAGAAGATCCTATGTTTGGGAGAGGTGCCAATGCTCAAAGTTCTCCAATTGCTTGTGTTGCCCTTGCTATGACCTTGATCCACAGTACAGAATACTGGACCAAAATGATTATTGATGATGTGGTCTGTATAGGGGATGATGTCTATGCAAAATATATAGATAGGTGTGATACATTGTTCAATCCCTGGGAAGAAAAACTAACCTTAGCCCTTTGTCCCAAAAACTTCAAAATTGGTAAGAATAAGGTTAACTTTGAACTTAGACAAACAGACCAATCTGGTGTCATTGATATAAAAGCACCTGACACACAAAACCTTCGTCAGGGAATAGAAAACTTCTTCCTGGAAAATGTCTATGGGGTTTTAGAAACAGACCTGTTAACAGTAGCCATCTGGCAGGAGTGTAATGGGGTCATAGATTACATTTACATGTTTGATCCCAACCCCAGGGGACCTTCAGGAATGCCTGAAACAGAATCTGGTGTAGCTTGTACAATGCGTTTTGCTTCCCCTAAGTTGCTATCTGAGCATGTGATATCCCTGGTATCTGAAGATGCTCAGGGAATGTTCCTGATAACACCCATAGAAATAATCATAGAAAGAGATGGTAAGAAAGTAAAGAAAACACCTAAATACGGTCTACAGAAACCTGAAAAACAAGAATCTCCACATAATAAGAAACAGGGACGTCTGAGTTACTATACAATCCCACCTGGAGAGATGGATATCCTCAGGGGTAGCAAAAGTCAGAACCATAAATGCTACTCAGACAACTCCAGAGGTAACCAGGATGTACCTAATTGTATTGTGGCTTATGTCATGGACAAACTCATACCCATCAATAAATGGACATATAAAAACATTGATATGATTCTGGACATGGGTGACCTGTTGTTTAAGGATTCCTACATGGTTTATAACCCTAAAGAAGAAAAAATAGGTCTTGAGACCCTAATCCGTGATGTGGTTATTAAAGACATTAGAGTAAAAATATCAGTAGGTGCACCTGTGTTAACAGCCCATTTTGGGGCCAGGCCCTTAACAGAAGCCCTAGTTGCTTGTTTTAACCTCAAAAACTTTTGTATTATTTTACTGGATCGCTGGGCATTGGCCCTGTTTAAAAAATGTGATACCTATTATATGTTTGACCCAACTGATCTAAATCTCTATGGGAATAGAATTGACAGGTGTGGATCAGCTGCTGTCCTCAGGTTTGAATCCATAGATAAACTCATTGAGGTCCTCATCAGAAACCTGGAAAGTCAACCGATAGAAAACGAAGTGTTTAGAATAATCATAGCAGCAGTGAAACAAATCGAAAAAATTCCTGTAGGTACTGAATTCAAAACCCTACAGGATAATAAAGATCTACTTGATGATATCATGCCAGGACCTCCTCTGGTGTCCTCTGAACCCGATTGTGATAAGATTTTGTTTGGGCATACAAAACCACATAAAAATCGAAAAAAGAAATACGTACAAAAATGTTAATCATTGAATCATGAATGTTTTGTCAAGTTATAAATAAATAATAAATTATACAGGGTGTTTTTTTTTGTGAAAAATTTAATTTTTTGATTTTTTATAGCAAAAAAATATAAAATTCTATAATACTATACATAATTTATAAACTTTTGTTTAAGTACGTCTACTTTAGTGCATCGCACACACACAAACAGTGATTAATTAATTAATTAATTAATAATTAATAATACTAGTCTTATAAATTTTGATTTCAGATCTTTGTTTACTTAGATTTCTACATAGAAGTTTTGTACTCTGAAAAACTTCAATATGTTATCATAAATTGTCATTGTATAGATTCTATAGATTATTTAAACAAAAAGTAATAACAAATTATCATTTAGAACACATTTATATTACTATGTTTGATATTATTGATGTATTTTTGAGGTTATGGCCTGTTTTTCTAATTATTTCGGTTGTTGTGCATTGAAATGTTTAAATCTTTCGCTCTTTGACTTCTTTATCATCTTTATCTTTATCTCTGCTGTCTGGATTTGTCTTATCGGGGCTGTAGACTATTTCGGCGTATTCTGTTTTGTCATCTTCGGACTTAAGCACAGGTCGTAGATTAGGACTAACCAGGTCTAGTTCGGCGTAAACCAATCCGTCGGTTTTTTTTGCTTCCTCAGCAGGTGAAACTGGATTCACGGGATTTTCGGCGATTGCTTCTCCTAAAGGTATTTTTACATCTTCGGTCGAGTTGTGTGTTTGGTCTTCGGGGACATTTGTGGTTTTATCTCTGGATTTTTTCAATGCGACTAATTTCGTCCGCAAGGTTTGAATTATGTCTTTTGGTTCGCGGGACTCCTTGGGTGCTTCAGCTGATTCTGTGTCACTGCTAGAAAATATACATATATTAACCCGGCGCCTTCACAAAATATTTGCATAAGTTTAAAGATAAATATCTCGGCTAATAATTGAAAGATTTATAATATTTAAATTGTTTTTTATAGATTGATTAATAATCTATAACTTTACAAGATTTCAGTTTAATATCTATAAATTTCAAAATGTTATAAACGTTTTTGTAAAAATATCATAACAATATAACTGTTAAATTGATTAATCATGTTTTAAAAGTTAAATATCTCTTGAAATAATAATAATATTTAAAAAATTCAAATTGTTGTTGATAGATTAATTAAAAATCTACATAGTTGCAAAATTTCAGTTTAATATCTTTAAAATTCAAGAAGTTATGCACGTTTTAATAAAAAAAATGAAACAAAAATTTCTTTTTAATAATTAAAATATTTCAAAAATTTAAAGTGTATTTTATAGATAAACTAATAACTAATAACAATACTAAATTTCAATAAATAATCTTTAAAACTAAAAAAGTTATGAGAATTTTTCTAAAAAAAAATAAAATAAAAAATCTTATTTCACATACGATTCTCCAGTTGATTGTCGACGTCCTGAAATATAACAATCAAAATAAGATAAATAAACAATTAATCACTAAAACAAGACATTAGTAAGCAAGCTGTTAGTAAAAGCACAAAATCACGTCATTATTTATTTATTTATTTATTCGTCTTCACTCCTTTCATTTATCATTTATATATAAAAACAATCTTTAATCATCAATATTTGTTCATCAATATAATTTATATCGCAACCGATCAAATAATTAATGTTATCATATACCTAACATAATAATATTCATTTTTTCTCATCCGCATCATCATCGAAAAACGTCCATCTTACTAATTAATTAGAATATGAATGAAAATAATTTATTATGAATGCTCCGAATCAATGCATTAATTAATCTCATCCTAAATGTTATTATTTATGTAATACACAATCGAGTGTTCGAGCATAGTTTTCACATTCTCACATTTCATTCGATTCAATCGATCGCGATTGAAAACATAATTCAAACAGAGCGCAACCATCCGCTTAAATAATTTATTAATTAATTACATTACGTAATTAATAAAATAATAATATGCTGCGTTTTAATTGTATTTGATTAATCTGATTATCGTGTTGTTGTATTATTTTGCGCTAAAACATAAATTTTATTATATTCTTCACATGTTCAAACATTTACTTATACAGTTTACGTTTTCTTTATGATTTAAAATTTATGAAGTAATTTTTCACAATTTTTTTTTTGATTTATTTAAAGTTTTTCAAACGTATTTTACAGCTGATTTATTTCTTGTTAATTTTATATACATGAGAATATAGTGGAGGCGCCGGGCTAACATTAACTACGCTTAAGAAACAAAAATAATTTCAAATAAATCAGCTGTAAGCTTTTATTTTTATTAATCGTTAGATATTGTTATGTTAAATTGTTGTCAACAAAGTGGAATAAAATAGAAATATGGCAGTATTGTATGTTGCAGTGTTTTTGATGTGATTGGTTCCGTTTTCGAAAGTAAAAAAGACTACAAACTAATTTTTTATATAACTAGGCGAGAATGTACTTAAGTAATGATCACAAAAAACGATAAGTTATTTAGATTTAAATTTAATTTAATTTAATTAAAACTTTTAAGGACGAAATTGTTTCTAGCTAAATATTAACGTGATAAATGATAATTATTTTGAATGTTTTTTGTTTTTTTCGTTTGAGAATAGAGAGCGTGTGTGAGTTTTATGATTAATGTGTTGTTTTTATGTTGATTTCTCGTTTTTTTTTTTTGGTTTAGACGGCAGTGTCAATTTTTTTCTCTTTGATCGGATGATCGTTGCCGTTAATATACTCTTGGGAGCCGTGGTGGTGGGGATTGTCGACGCCGTCGACGACGCGCGGCGTCGAGCGATGGTGGTCGCCGCCGCCGCCGCCGTCCGCGCCGCCTACGCCGCCGGACGTGTAATCAATGACGTGCGCGCCTCCTAAAACAAAAACCACACACGTTTTTTACCGAGCTGTGCAGAGACAGACAGACAGAGGCCAAAACTACTCAATACAGGGTGTTTACGATATGAGATGATAATTAAACCACCCTTAAAGGACCAAAACTACGCATTCCGAAAATTTTATTATTTTATGCTAACTAAAATGATTCCAAATGAGCTAAAATGAGTATGTGTGTGATTTTGTACCCGGCGCCTCCACATAATACTTTTATATGTTGAAATATCGATCACCAATAGAAAATAAAATGAAATAAAATAAAGAAATGCAACAAGATCTAAAATGTAATGAAAGCGCAAAAGGCGATGGAAAATAAATGAGGGTGGCGTGAGTGTCTCGCTTGTTGTGGCGTCTGATGCTGGAGAAAATCGTAAAATTTCCGGAAACATGAACGCGAGGAAATCGACAAAATCGAAGACAACGAGAAAAGTGCTAAACGAGACAAACTAGCAGCAGCAAGAGAAAACAATGAAACACAGAAATAAAAAAAAGAGTGGAGCGCAAGTAACGAAAAGATAAAGTACACCCAACGACGAAAACGGGTGTCCGGGGGTGTCGAGGCAAACGATACACCCTCACGAGGGTGTTGCGACAAAGAATCACCGTCATATATTATCCGAAAAAGAACCAATTTGAAATAACAATAAAACAAACGTAAAACAAACGCATTCTTGAATAAACCCGGCGCCTCCACATAATACTTTTACATGGAAATATTATTAACTTAAAAACACACCCAAAAACAATAAAAATCTACTCATTATTAAAGTTAATAACATTATTGTGTTATTATACAATGAAAATTATGAATTTTATATATTTTTCTGTGAAATTTTTATTTAAATCGAATAATTGTGTTTTTTTTATTGGTTGTATTGACAGATTGTTTTAAATGATTCAGGTGGGAAAACTATTTTCATTTGCTTATCGCTTTTCGCTTTCCGCGTCTTCCGTTCACTATCGAGGGAATTCAAAAACGGAAACGCAAAAACGCTACACTAACAGTCGCAACTTTAATGGCTTCTAAGAGAGTCTTTAAGTGTCCTTTAAAACTTTTAAAGAAGTCTTTAACTAAGAATTATTTTTTAGAAAAAAACTAGGGCAAGAAAATAAAACTTAAAAATATAGAAGTTGTTTATGTAAAGAATAACGGTCTGAAAACTACTAAATGTGTAATTAATTTAGTTTTTTGATAATAACTCAGAAACGCGTAAAGATAAATTTATAATTTTAATTTTACGTTAATCTGTATTAAATTCTGCATATAATATGTTAATAAGAACTTTGTGCATTAAACCAACAAAAAGTTATAAACAATTAAACTTGATTTTGTAAAAATTTTGATGTGTTTATGATTTTAACGATTACTCTGTATAAAATTATAATAAAGACGTAAATTATACATATTTCAATGCACAATTTAATACTTAATGTAATGTTAAAATATTAATAACGATAACATTAAAAGTTTTTGAGTTATTAACAAAATACTAAACAAAAATAATTTTCTTCAATTTTTAGACCGTTATTCTACACATAATAATTTTAATGATTTATGAAACTGTATGAACCATGATGATTTCAAAATCTACAGAATGTAATGATCAAATAATCTACATCTACTCATGATAAACAATTTACAACTCACAGTTGTCTAAATTATTATAAACAAATAATCCGTCGATTAGTTTGCAGTTTACAATCGTTGTGTTCCCGTGTCGGAGTCAAAACGAATAGAAAAGCACAACAATTACACATTTTCGGTCTTCACTTCACATTTCCATCAATAATATTAATAACAATGTATGCAATTAATACGGTTAGTATTGCAGAATAGGAAAGCAACGTGAATTACACACTGTACAAATTAATAACAATAAATAAACAAGTTTAAAGTCAAAACTTACCGGAGAAACACCACCGATCGGTTTTCCACGCAAACACCGTCAAAAACACGAGGAAAAACACCACCAAAATGGCGGCGACAATAGCCACAATCGCAGAAGCTCCAAATTCAACACCTAAGATAAAAATATCAACATTAATAAACAAATTAAACAAAATATTAATTTATATTTTATATTTATTTAAAAATTTATGATTTTATGAGTTTAATTCTTACCATGAATATTGTAACGTTTATAAATAAACTTTTTCAGTCCTTTCGAGGAGAGCATGAGGGTTGAAAGGAGAAAAACATGAATATTCAGATATTCACGATGCAAAACGCGCGCGTTTATGTTTATTCATAAGAACGATCATGCTTTTCAAGTTGTAATGCAGTTTTTAATCAAAAACAAACCAAAAACAATCATTTACCTTCGGGTTCAGGACTTGTCGAAATCAGAACCGTGTATTCCTGTGTCCCCATGTCATTGTAAGCTGTCAGAATGAATTGCGTCTCGGTATCTTGTTTATTAATCGCTGCAATTCGTAAATTAGCCACGTAATGTCCACGTCCCTTAAAAAATAACAAAATAAATTAATAAAAATTAAATTTAAGGTTATGTTTGATTAATTTACTTTATCCTGAGCCGACTCTGCTTCTATCCTTCCGGACCTGTCAACATTGCCCTCTCGGATCTTCTCACCCCTTATGGTCCATTCAATTTGCGGTTTGGGGTTGGCTTCGACCACAACCGAAATTATACCCGACTTACCAATCTCATAACCAAACTTGTCAATTGGATTTTGTTGACTTAAAGGTGGATCTATACAAAATAATCGTTTAATAATATTTTTTTGGTTTTGAATTAAATTTACTTACATTTTACATCCAATTGTCGTGCTGCGACATTGTTTTCCGGAAGTGCCGGATGTGTAGCTACACATTTCAACAGTTTTCCGTTATCAGAGGGTTGTAAAACCCGCGTGAGATTCTGTAATTTCGAATGTAGGTCTTCCTTGGCCAGGTCTACAATGGTAGGCATGCTGAGTCCTTCGCCGGTTAAAAGTTCATCATCCAGATACCAGGAAATATTCGCTACGGGTCTTCCGTCCCTTATCACGCAGGAGGCGTGAAGGGTGTCGTGCATTTTGTACACTCTTAATGAATCTGTGCCTCGGGATAAATCTAGTTCTGGTTGTCTTGGTGGTCCTGTGGAAATAATAGGTTTTTATAATTGTTCACAGCACCTCCACCATTTTTAAAATATAAATTTTAAGTACATTTTATAGCTTTTAAAGAAGTCTTTAACTAAGGATTATTTTTTTAAAGAAAAAAATAGAGCAAGAAAATAAAACTTTAAAATTTACAAGTTGTTTATGTAAAGAATAACGGTCTAAAATTTACAATAAATGTAATTGATTTAGTTTTTTGAAAATAATTCAAAAACAAATAAAGATAAATTTATTATTTTGATTTAGTATTAATCTATATTAAATTCTGCATAATATTTGTATATATGAACTTTGTTCAATAAACCAATAAAAAGTTATAAACAATTAAACTTGGTTTTGTGAAAATTTTGATGTGTTTATGATTTTAACGATTACTCAGTATAAAATTATATAAGGGACATATGATATACACAATCTAATGTAAAATTTAATACTTAATATCATGTATAAAAAATCAATCAGATAACGTTAAAACTGTTTGAGTTATTAACAAAATAGTAAACAAAATCATTTTTTAGGTTTTTCAGACCGCTGTTCTATACATATCAATTTTTATGTTTTACAAGACTACATAATAATACTTCCCGGCGCATCCACTATATTACAATACTTACGTGCAACAGTTAACTGCATCGATCCAAACGGTTCCTGATACTCTGTCTCAATACCCAGATAACACTTGACCTTGCCATTGTTGATCTCCTGCACACTATCCAGCGTGAAACCACATTGTCCTGCTGAGAGTCCAGCGCCATAATACGACACACCACCACGTGGAGGCAACTTATTGTTGAGATTAAACGTACTCATGCCAGGAATATCCACACGGCAGTATTGCAAAGGTACGCCAACTTTACACAAGAAAGTAACATTTTGTCCTGGCAGAACAACACTTTCCCTTGGCTGGACATCAACTACAACAGCTAGTGATCCTGAAAATAAAAAAAACATTTAAAATTAATAAAAATTATTTAGTAGTAAAGATAATAATCGTTATGATCCTGTTTGTTTTTATCCAGCTGGTATGGAATACACGATGTAAAATAAATCAAAAAATGTCGCGCTTGACAAAACCCTCGGCGGGAAATCAGTGAAAAGCTTGGAAAAATCTAGGCTACACCTGTCCACATTCACCACTGGATATATATAATATTTTCAACTTTATTGTATGTGTGTTGTTTCATCATGCTTTGTCCTTTTTAGTTCGGTGCCCGGCGCCTCCACCAAGCGGACCTCTGGCCTTATCGCCGCCGAACTCATAAAAGTGGAAAAACGCCAAGCGCACCAAGCGCACAGTCGTGATATATGTTTGAGTTAGGCGACCGGGGGATAAAAAATAGCATAGTCGTGGGGTGAGTGAACGGGAGCGGCAGCGCAGCACGGAAACGAACCGAATTTGCAATAAATCCTGTTTTTGATTTTCCATTCGATTATGCACGTGATGCACGCGCAACTAGTTCCCCGACCGTCACAAACAAAACATTCGCAAGCCTTAAAATGTAAAATTTCATGTTTTTAGCATTGTTTATGATTAAGGGCAGTAATTTACAAGTTGCAACCCGTTTCATTGTTTCGCACCGCTTTGTTAGCAATGATTACGTCCGCCATTGTCAATTGATAAGCGTTATTGCCGATTAGCATTGTGTTCGACGCTTTTGTTCGGAATTCAATTTTATTGTTTCAACCCCTCAATTAAAAAACAATTTACTAGTTGTTTCTTTTTAGTTAGGTTCTAGTCATCACATCAATTTACTTCTTGCTTCGAGAGTTTTTCTCTCGCCTAGACGGCGTGAAGAAACAAAAATCCGACTCGTTTTTAATTGCGTTAATGCTCGCGCCGCCGGCGCCTCCACCGAACTCGTTTCGCTTCTTGGTTTGCTAGAAAACGAAACGCTTGTTACATGCCGGGTTGTATTTATTTTTTTTGCTTCTCAGAAACAGCCGACTTGTTGTTGCGAGTTCCGGGACGATCGTTAAGTCGACTAATGACGTTTCGACGCCTAATTGAGAACATCGAACAACGATGCGAAAGTTTTTACTTTCACGAAAACGCAGAAAATAAATGTTATGTTTAAAATGGAATAACTTTTAAACCATTAAACTTACAACACTAATATTTAGTTATTATAAACTTTAGTTTATTGTCTATCAAATAAACTTTTAATAACTTTCATATCTATTTTAGTTTATGAGTTATCGCAATTTAAAAATTATCAGTCATAAAATTTCAAAATAAAATAAACATCAACTTTACAACAACATAACTTTATAACGACAAAAGTGACATTAACGCCCTTTTACACACATAATCCCCAACTCAATACCTATCAACTAAAATTTAAATCAAAACAATATCTCTAATATTTTTAAAATTATTCAAAGAAAAAGATCAACTTTCAATATAACAAGTAACGTTGATAAGTAAAAACAAATTAAAAATTAATTAAAACGCAATCCTGCGCGTGCGACAGACACAATGAACATTGAAGCAGCAAAATTAGAAAATTACGAACGCGATGAAGTCGTAAATTATGTTCGAAACACTGGGCGCCTCCACCATCCGGCTAAAAAAACATTCGCAACCGAAAAGTCGTTCATTAAAAACCCGAAACTAACACTTTTACAAACACACGCACTGAAAATATACAAAGAGACAAACACAACTACACAGATATTAGTGTTTTTCGCAGTAAATTCTTCCATGTACAAAAAAACGTTGAGCATATTGCAGCCATCGGAATTTTCCAATTAAAATCGTTCGCTCGTCGGGAAAACGCCGCTTAACACACTACAGGCGGCAAGTGCTGTTTTCAATGGTCGCTGCGAGCTTTATTTATTCGATTGCGGTTCATTATTCATCTGGCAATTATGCAATAAGCACAAATATGCGAATACATCGTGGGGATTATGTGGAGGCGTAGGGAGAAATTTAAAAAACGCAGACGTTGAGTTTTTAAAATTGGTATTAATTACGCGAGCTTTCAAAGGATCATTTACTGTTTGTGTCTATTAATAGCGAAAGCTTTCTGTATGTGAGCTTTCGTGTTGTTTTGTTTATGTATGTGTAAATATGTAAAGTTGAATAACGTTTAAGCTTGTTAGCCAGCTTTCGACGACTGAATGCGTCCGGATTTCGATTTTGGGTTTTCGCTCCTAAGCTTTGCAGCTTGCGGCGCGAGCTTTTGCTTATTCTGTTGCCATGTGACGCTGATAGTTTGCTCTTTCAAGGGATTTATCGCTGTGTGCGTGCGTGTATTGATGTGAGCTTTACTCTGTGCGCGAATGCGAGCTTGCATGTTTTTGCGAGAGAATGTGTGTGGCCGCATAACGATAACACGACGATAGTTTTTGCCATAATCCATCACGGCAAGCAAAGCTGGCTCGTTGGTGAAGCTGCACTTTTGCGCTTGAAAACTACCCGCATTGAAACAGCTCACGGAAAGCATTGAAATCTGAAATTGGACTAAATGTTTTAGACATTTTTATTGCCCAAAACTATAAATTTTATATATAAAAGTCATTAAATAACAATTAAAGATTAAAAACACAAAAATATGAAGAAAAAATTTAAGTCATATTTAAAAGCTTATAACTCAAAAACCAATTAACTAAGAATAACGTACAATACATCAAATTAAACCTTCACTTTTTGGCTTTAATTAAAAAGAAACATCAATTTAATCCGATAAAAACTCTTTGAGTTATCGCAAATTTAAATTTGTGTGTTTTTGGCGAAACATTTCTTTCAATTACCCAAAGTGTGGAGGCGCCGGACAAAACAATTTGCAACCAATTAAATGTATGTTGAGGCACGAGCCTGACACGATGCACGCCTGCGCAAACATGTACGCTTGTTATTGTTTAATTTGTCGTATTATCCTTGGGGCAGGAACAACATCGTCCTGTTGTAATATGCAAATTGGCATTTTGGCTGATTCGCAATTTTCGTACAATCATTTTATTAAATCATATTATATTATAAACACATCATTAAAATTGCTAAGATTTCGTAAACACTATGATAAGGTTTAATAAGAATTATCATCCTGATTTAAATAAATGTATTGTTGTTATTTATAATTTTGAATTGGCAGAAATTAAATCAATATTGTCAGATAGCGCCAATGTTTTACATTTTGCAAAGATAATATTTATGTATGATGCATTGCGTGTTGATGGAAATGCAAGGATAACTAACAACGTGCATATATTGACAGTGCAAATATTTTATAAATTTACCAAACAAACAAATTCGATGAAAACTAACAAAATGAAAATAATTATATAAAATAAATATTATATTATTAATAATAACAAAGAAAAAATGTTCATTTTTAATGATTGTTTATTTGTAGTTATTAATATATTATTTGATAAAATATTTTTGTAAAATTTGACCTTGAATGACCTTTAAACTACATTTTTGCAAAAATGCTCAAAAAATGCAAAAATAATCATTTTTGGCTTGTCATTAATTAACTAATTAATAAATTTACCTGAAATTAATATCATGTATCCTCTATTAAATTATCTATCAAATGATAGCAAATTTATTATTCTATCTCTTAAAACAAAAAAGTTACAAGCAAATAAAATATGTATTCTTCAATAAAATTTCGAAATTAAAAATTTAATATTAAAATCCAGGTCAAATAATAAAATAAAGATAATAAGGTAAGTCTGTTACAAGCAGTTTATAAAGTCATGATCCTGAAAGCCCAGAAATCCTCAGTTCACAAGACAATAAAAATGGAAATGAAATGAAATAAACGCCGAGTTAATGAAACAAAACGCGACGAAATGAAACGAAATGAGGCGGACGCAATGTAATGTATATAGATTAAAGCTGTGTAAGGATCAAAAGACAAAAAGAACGAAAAATAATTGAATTCAACACAAAATAATAAAATTCATACATATTTAAAATTATAATTATGTGGAGGCGCCGGGATTTTAAATTTTAAAATTTTATTTTTTATAATTTTTGAATTTTTGTTTGTGTAGGAATCTTATTTACAGTTCAGCCGTAATTAATTGATCGTTAACTACAGCTTCCGTTTAGTTTGCGCCGCCCCCATCCACCTAAACATTAAATACAAACAAAGGCGCGTCGTAATTTTCTGCATTCTCTCGGCGCAACAAATCATGCGGGTTGAGGCACACGACCCCTCAAAATTCAGCCGCCCCCAACGCTCTTTCTAAAGAACCGCAGGGTTTGAGAAGTGCTTCGACTCTAGTCGTGTTTATTTGCTGGCGTTAACAAGTCACGACGTGTTTACACATTCGATGAAGCAACAGCACAACACAAATTAAAATTATATACAGTGTGTCCTCTCATGCATATATTTTATTAAAACATGAATATCTCACAAACTATTTATGATATTAATTTGGTTTAAAAAGCATTTTATAGTGGATTAAATTATCTTTAATTTGGTATATAGATAGTTATTGTATATTTTATAGTTTTTAAGTTATTGCATTTTTAAGTTGAAAAATTATCTGCGTGTGGATTTCTTTATTAAATTTTTACGCGTTTGGCATTGTGTGTGATAAATTGAATGCCGTTGAGAGGCGCGGGGATTATTTGCGTTTTACGCACGAATTAGGTGCGCAAATATGCGCCGCCGGCGGGCGCTTCGACCGCCGCCACCTGCCGCCGCCGTATTGTCGAAGGGTTAAAGCCGCGTGCGCCTCTTGTGGCATTACTCGAGCAGAGAATGCGGCGCAAAAGGAGTGAATCCTTTGGCTTCCCTTCGGCACGAATTTCATCGCTCATCACTCGGAAACACAACGCACAGTAACAACACAAACACGAACGCACATCACACATGTTGCGTTTGTAAACAACCCTTAAGCTCACAGCACTTAAACACACAATATACAAAATTTAAACAAAGTACACTCGTTTTCAAAGTGTAATTGAGTGTAATTTCCAAGTAATTAAAACCAACTTTTTACTTTTG